TCGGGTCTCCTCTGAACTCACATTAAGCTCCTGGGTACCTTCAAGGGTTTGTCATTAGTGGTTTCAGAAGTCCTGGTCCTAAGATCCTGTTCGTGGCCCTGTGACTCTGGCCCTCTGACCTCTCTCTGTGCACTTGCCCTCTTGGATTTACTTTTCTGTCAGAGAGGTGTCCTCACCTGTGAAGCAGGGAACAACAGTAACTGCTTTACCCTCTTGAAGTGTGGCTGCTAAAATGAAATGAGGTGTTGGTGCAGAAGCACTCCATGACTTGGACTTGGTCACCTGTGTATAAGGTGGAGTGTTGAAAGTTCAGTGTTCATTCAGGTAAATTTGGGGCAGTAAAGTGATGAGGGGAGGTTTGCTTTTGTTTGCGTAGCAGAGAGAGGTTTGCTAAGGTAGAGAATGTTTCCTGCGTGAACCTCATGCTCAGATCATTGGTGCTTCTGTCCCTAACGCTTGTCTCAGCTTGTGGCTTGAAGCAACAATTGACTTTTCATTACGTTTTATGTTAGTAAAGTACAAATTTGTCAGTGACTTATCTATTTTACTACGTCAGCAAGCAAATATTTCTTTAAGTAAATGATAAAAAGCTAAGCTGTAATGACAGCCTTTTGGAGAGGAGTAGGAAGTGGGTCTCCTTTGCTTCACAGAACTTCTGCCCTTGAGCTTTGGTGAGGCCTCCCATTGGCTGCTCTCTGCTCACCAGCTGTTGGGTCCTTTGGAGGTACTTTGCTGTGCCTGGGATGTCCCTTTCTCTGGGGGGGAGACCTGCAGGGAGACCTCTGCTCAGTCATCACCTCCATTACTCATCAGAAAAGAAGGCCTGGTTGTGACAGAGCACCCCCACCCAGCACATTCTCCAGTTTACCCTTGATAATCCCGAGAGGAACTTCTCCGTTACAGGCCATGGAAATCTCCACCTGGGTGGTGAGCGTGTCTCAGTGAGGAAGTGAACAATACTTCATTTTTCACTTGAAAACATTGTAATTTGTGTTATGTGTAAGGAATACTCAGCTCAGCCATTGGCAGTTCCTTTGGTTGATTACTTACTCCTCTTGCCAATTTCAATCTCTCTTTTTATTTTTTATTTTTTTTAGATACAGGATCTGGCTGTGTTGTCCAGGCTGGAGTGCAGTGGCATGATAATAGCTCACAGCTCACTGCATCTTCGAACTCCTGCGTTCAAACCATCCTCCTGCCTCAGCTTCAGCAGTAGCTGGGACTACAGGCACACACCACCACACCTGGCTGATTTTTTTGGGGGGGAGGGTAGTGACAGAGTCTCGCTATGTTGCCCAGGTTGCAATTACAGTCATAAGGGCCTGAGACCCTCACAGTGAATTTGGTGGAAAGGACTTGTGGAGAAAAGGAAAGTCTCCTTGTTTAGCTTTTCTCCATACAACCATGTTTTCTTTATAAGAACAGAGCCTTTTGTTGATTTCAAAGAAAAATATTTTTTTCTAGTGTGATTCCAAATTAAAATCTTTTTGAATTAGTAAAGGGATGGTAGCTAAGATTTAATACCTACATAGCAGGCATCTTGCATCCCTGTAGCTTTGCTTTTAAATGGGTGCGGAAACTGAAGTTTATTGTTTAAATCAAGTGCTCAGCCAAAACAGAAAGTAAGCAACAGACTAGAAATCAGTGGATAATCTTGATTCCAAAACAAATGTTCCTTGGGTTCTACCACACTGCCAAAGTGACCCTGGGGTGCCTTTGAGACCACAGCTGTAAGAATATGGGTTACGAGACAGAGCCCCTGACGCTCTGCTCTGTTTGTCCAGTCCACAGTCTGGCTGACCCTGGGCAAACTAGTCCATGTTTTGGATACTCCCTCGCCTCCATAGATAATGCAGTGAAACCCAGTCACAGGGCGGTTAATGGGCTCCAGGTGCTTCTGCTTCAAGGTTACAGGACAGCAGGAAGAGCCTGGCGGGTGGGGGCCCACCTGTGGGGGGATGGATTCCAGGAATGCTCCCAAGCTGGTGCCTGTTGGGGGTATTTGGCTGGGAGGACTCTGGGGGTGGATACAGAGATCCCCTGCTTCCTTTGCCCCCCACCCAGCCCCTTAAAACTTTAGTTCCATTGAGGATGGGGAAATGCATCATCTCCAAAATTGGGCATTGTAGTCTGAAGTCATGGTTGCCTGTGCTTAGGGATCAGTAAACAACTTTATGTAATTTACTCTTACTTACATTTTGCATAATCTGTGGGCTGCTTGTAGCTTCTGGGTGTTTTTAAAAGATGTCTTGAGCAAGGCATGGTGGCTCATGCATGTAATCCCAGCTACTTGAGAGGCTGGGGCCAGAGGATTGCTTGATGCCAGGTGTCTGAGCCAGGTGTTCAAGACCAGTCTGGGCAACATAGCAAGACCCTGTCTCTGGAAAAACTAAAACAAAATTTAGCCAGGTGTGGTAGTGCATGTCTATAGTTCCAGCTGCTCAGGAGGCTGAGGCAGAAGGATCATTTGAGCCCAGGAGTTTGAGGCTGCTGTGAACTGTGATAACGCTGTCATAGCTCCAGCCTGGGCGACATTGAGACCCCATCTCATAATAATAATAAAGGAGGTGTAAAATATTTCATCTGATGCAGTCAACCCTAGCGAGACTGGTATTGTATTGGAGAGCACTTTGAATCAGCATTGAGGGGACCTGAATTCTACTCTCAGAATTCAGTTGTGTGGCAGAGGGAAAGTCACTCAATATGCCTGGACATTAGCTTCCATTTAAAACAAGTTGAGTGAGCTAATGGCTGAGCGCTGCACTTACCTTAACATTCAGGGATGAAGGATTGAGCAGTGCAGAAGGCACTTGGGTGTGGTGTTCTCAAGAATGTCCAGAAGTAGAGTCATTGAGGTCAGTGTAGTCTGTGTCTGGGCCTTTGCTCAGTCCTTTCCTCTGGGGAGGCCAGAGGAGGCTGTTGAGTGTCTTCTCTTGTCAGAGATGGCGAGGAGCTGGCCTGGGGGATTTGCAGTGGGACTGGGAAGGGGGAGAAGCAAGTGGCAATGGGGCCGCTGGAGGATGGTGGAGCTCAAGTGGATGAGAGACCAGGGCACGATCAGTTCTGGAGGCCCTGGTCCCAGGGGCCTTGGACATGCTGGTCCAGTGCCGGTTGGGGGCGGAGAGAGGACATGGAGGGCCCTCACCTGTCACTGAGCATCTGCTGGGTGCAAGGCCCATGCTTGTAGGCCAGGCTTGGGTGTGGCAGCCTCCCGTCCTTGCTGTCGAGGAGCCCACTATTGGGGCCTGTTCTCCTTGCGCATCACTTCAGGGTTCTAGAATACTGACTTCTCATCATGCAGACTATTACTAACCTTCTTTGTGGTCTCGGAAACATGGTCACGGGTGAAGCGTTGACTTTGACCCTCTACTTTCTGTTGCTTCTTACACCCACTCCCACCCCTGAGAGCGGGCCGACCCAGTCTTGTTAGAATCACCGTCTTCCCTCACTCACCTTTCCACGCCTTCCATTCTTCTTGGTAACTTCTCTCTCCTTCCCTGTGGGTCTTCACCTCTGTTTCTCTCTGAATGTCTCTGGAGGGAGGTGGCCTCTCTGGGGTCACCTTTGTATTCTGCCTCGTGTCTCTGCTCCCACCTGCCATTTTATTCTGCTTGAACTGGAGCTGTTGGGGCCAGAATTAAGGCAGTGAAGCCACTTCCTCCTCTGAAGTTTTGGGGGGAAGACCAGATGCCACGTTCTTCTACTTTGAGTTGGTGATTCTGGTCTACTTTTAAAAAGCATTTGAGATCTAGAACGATGGGCACCAAACTTAGAAATGGTTACTCGGGGGTGGCATGCTTTCCTTTGTGGTTCTTGCTGCTTTGTTTCCCTATACTGAGGAGGTATCATTTCTGAAAGGCTGAACATCCCCAAATGTCACCCCTGTCCGGCAGGCAAGTGTCACTCTGGCTGCTGCACCTTCTCACGCCCGCGGTCTGCTTTGTCCTGCCCTTGGCCTTCCCTCCCCTCCAGCTCAGACACGCTCCGCTCTGTGATCCTTTACTGTCATTCTGGCCTGGGTGACCCGTGCTGTGACCTGGTAAAATCTTGCAGAATTTATCAAGGCCTCTGGATTATGGGGTTTTAGAAAACGTCTGTCTACTACTTTAAGTAGGTTCCTAATGTGGTATGGCTGGCAGCCTGCGCTATGTATGTGGTGGGGCTGTCGGTAGGTCATGGTGTCGGGAGAAGAGAGCTTCGTGAGTGTTCCTTAAGAAACTGGAAATGAATCTGAAGTCCTTTGTTGTGGGTGGTGCAGAGGGGGACGGGCAGCCCTTCCTCAGACACCTGCCCCTTGGAATGAGGGCTCCAGGTGGGCCAGGATGTCTTGTAAAGTCAGCATCTGTAACCCACCCTTCAGTTTGCAATGAAAACGTCTCTGACTGACTAGAAATGGAGTAAAACGGACTCCTGGAAACCGACCCTGAAGTTGCCACACTTGTTGAAAACGATTGGGCAGCACCGGGCTCATTAGGTTTGCTTTGGTGAGGAATAGACGAAGTCAAGTAATGTGCTGAGTACCTCCTTATGTAGCCCACTCTGTAACACAGAGGGTCCTTGGAGGGCGTTTCTGACGTGCGGGCTAGGATGGGACACACATGGAGCCTGTCCTTGCTCTGTGACAGCGCGCTTAGGACTGTGAGAATTAAACATGCAAACGCTGCACTGGCTGGTGGTGCTTTCTGCACTGACAGAAATGTTCCGTGGTGTCCACTACGGTGGTCACGAGCCACACGTGGCATTCGACGACTAAAAATGTGGCTGGTGTGACTGAGGAACTAAGTTTTTAATTTTTTAATTCTAATAATATTTAAATTTAAGTGGCCTCATAGACTACCGAATTGGACAGGGCAGCTCTGATAAGCCAGCATTTCTGTGCACCTGGTCGCGTTGCCTCATGAGCCAGCTACACTGGTCGCCACACTGACACGTCTCTCCAGACGGGAGCCAGACCCGTCCCCACAGCTGAGCACGTCCGCGGTCCGCGGGTTTGGAAACGGCCGCCCTCTGCTAGCTGACTGTGGGGTCGGCCATTTCCAAGGCTCCTTACTCTGACGCGGGCCCTGGGTGGGACATCAGGTGGGCCGAGTCTTGGCCTCCCCGTGCTCTCTGGGCAGCCCTGCACGAGTTTTTCGTGTTTTTTCCAGAGAGAGTCTTCACAAGTCTACGAGGACTAGCAGCCTTTGGGGGTTTTCATTTCTATTATTTATGACGGTCTCCTGTGAAACTCCTGTCCTTGGTGGCAGACCCACTGAGGGAGGGAGCAGAGCCCCGGCCAGCACCGGGAAGCCGCCCCCGACCAGGAAGTGAGTCCTGAGTGGCAGGGCCCAGGATTATCTCATTAGGAAAGCATTTAAACAATAACCTACAGTTGTTTGGCTTTTGCTTTTTAAAGCATTTTTATTTTTATGATCTCATTTTCATCCTTTTGCAAGATTGTTTCAGAGTTTGAAGGTTTATGGTCCTATAGTTCCAGGAAGAGAGAACCCTGGTTATCATCGGGGTAGCTGTGACCACAGGGATATGCTGGGAGTTCCGTTTCCTCTGAGAGGGGCGGGAGGAGCGTGGGGCCATAAACAGTTCGTCTGTGTCTGTGCCCTTTGACCCTCGTCCCTGCCTGCCTGCCTGCTCGTGGGCGCCAGAGTTCTGAGCCCACAGCTCGGGAGGACGGGGCCTGCGTTTTCTCTTGCTTTTCCTTTCCAGCGTCATCTCCAAAGGTTCAGCTTGAGATCAGGAGCTGGTGCTGTGGTAGAATTCGCAAGGTTCTCCCGTCACTCTCAGGACACCAGATTCTGTTGGTGGGAATTGATCAAGGATAAGGACTAAAGATTCGTAAGCACTGGTGGTGCTTATTATTTCTCACAGAGGGTAGCATTTTATAGGTGTTTAAATGTTTTCTTGAGTGTGACTCTCAACCCACTTATTTGTAAAGATGATGAGAATATTTCAGCCAAAACCCCATTTGAAAAAGAAAGATACAGTGAAATGTGATGTGAGACTTCTGTTCTTGGAGAGACAAGACTTCTCTGTCTCCATCACGCACAGCACACTGTGGCGCTGTGGAACGGTTCTGCGAGAACTCTTCCTTTCTCTCACTGCGAAAGCGTTTTGCAGCGTCCTCTGGTCAGTTAAGGGTTTTGTCATCGCAGAGTCTCCTTGCTGGTGATCAGTGGGACCCCGGTGGAGGGGCCGGGGGCACTGGGCTCTCCTCCAGCTTTCCGGGGCAGATCACTGTATGGTCCTTTCTCTCCAAGGAGCCGAAGGTGGTGGATCGTCTTCTGGAAATGTGTCTGGGGTTGCCCCCTCCGGCCCTGCAGGGGGCTCTCGGTCCTCCTCCCGGAACTTAGGGTCCTCTGGCGGTGAAAAGGAAGAAGGCAAAAGGGCTCGGCGGCAGTGGGAGTCGTGGAGCACAGAGGACAAGAACAGCTTCTTCGAGGGGCTGTACGAGGTAAGTGAGCCGTGGAGGCGAGAGGTGGCCGGCACACCCAGTCTCTTGGCGCCTGCGCCTTCCCGTGGCCGTGGGGGTGGCAGGTCCCTGCAGGAGCCCCAGTCTCGCCCTCTGACCTTGGCCTTTTATCTCCTCCTTGTGCCTTGAGGAGGAGTGGTTGGGGAGCATTTTTGTTTGCTGCTTTCATTTCCTGCCCAAGATTGCTGCCTGCTACTTTCCAGGGACTCTTGACTAAGTAGTGGTCTTCACCTCTCTGGGCCTTCCCTTGGACACTGCGCAGGCTGACTTGGGAGGAGGTCCCTTGAGTGGGGGCAGGGGCCACTTGCCACGTCTGTCGGTGTAGCCGGCTAAACCCTAGGCCGCTGCCTTGCAGGAAGTCCTGCAAGTGGAGGCAGCACTGCCCAGCGCGCTGGCCATGCTCTGCTGGCTCTGTGTGCCTGTGTGTTTTGTTTTTAAATCCTTGTGATTATCATGAACATACTTTCTTATTAACATTAATTGCATTTCTCATGGTGTTTCACAGTTCCTTTGCTCAGTATTTTTTAAATATCTATAAATATGCTGCTTTAGATGTAGACAAAGCTATGATCTGTATGCTCACCATTTTTGTAAATAAAATTTTACTGGAAGCCAGCCGTGCCCATGGATTGACCTGTTGTCTGTGGCTGGCTTTGATCGCAGTGGTGGAAGTGGGTAGTTTCGACAGATACGGAGTGGCCCTCGGGGTCGAATCTTCACCTTCTGGCTGTTCGCTGCTCTACCAAACCATCCTCGTGCTATTGATTTTTGAGGTCCTATGCTAAATAATGCTGTAGGGAACATCTTTGTGCACATTGCGTATTTTAGACTACTTCTTTGGCATATAGTTTTAGAAGTAGGCTACTGAATCAATGAACCTTATTCTTTTAATAGCCAATTAATTGGGGTGATGGAAAAGTCTTGCCGAGCCTGAGAAACAGATGGCTCAAAAAAGGAGCAAGGCTTTGGAATTTAAACCATGACGTATTTGTGGGGAGATTAGAGACGAGACACATCTGAACACAGGCAGGGAAACAGATTGCAGAACGTTCCTGTGGCTGTGCCGCTGCTTTCCCAGAGCTGACGGTTAAGCGCTGCCCATCCCCGTCGGACGAGAGTGCTGTGCCCATGTGGCCTGGCTGTCCAGAGAGGGTGAAGTGTGCATGCGTGCCTTGTTTGAGTAGACGTGAAGTCCTTCAAACAAACACAGATGTGTCTTTTTTTCCCTATGAGTCTTAGAATAAAGCACAGGGCTGTTGTTGTATGGATGGCGTCCCCAGGGGCCTTCTGTAAGCTGTCTGTCAGGCGTGGGGGACCGGTGGTTCCTGGAATGTTTTCAGAACTGGCAACCGTTGCTGATTCTTGCCCGAAACGCTTGCTTACTGCTGTGGTGAGGCCCTTCCTTCTTGGGGAAACACACGCCCTGCGGGGGTCTGGCTGCCGTGGTTGTCCCCTGAACATGGCAGAGGGAGTGCCCTTGTTCACGACCCTCTGTACCTGTCTTCAGGTGAGTTAGCCCCTCTCCTTGTGGTGCCACCTTCTTGTTCGATTTTTGCTGCCAGGTGGGTGTGTGTCATCATAACTCCTGACATCCTTGGTTAGTAACAATAATTGGCTATTCTGGTCGTGTGATGCTTCCACTGCTGGTACTGTGCATCTCAGAGGGTGTGTCTCTGTCACTTTGTGTGTCTGACCAAAACTCGTGGCACCCTGGTGGGTCTTGATGTATCAGGTTGGGGCAAGGTGACCATTAAGATCTGGAGCTGTGGGATCACGGTGGCTGAGCACAGGCCTCTGCTCTGAGGAGCGTTGCTTCGATAAATGCTAATGAAGCTCGCTGCCCTCTTGACACCCATCCGTGTCTGACTTCATTATATTTCCAGTGACAGAACCCAGCTCAGTGCAGCTCAGGGTGGAGGAATTGAGCCACTTTCATAGCTGGGAGGGATGGGCAGGGGCTTTGCCGTTGGGCCCTAGTCTGCTACCCCAAAGCATTGGCCACCTTCTGGCCCCACCCTAGTTAGGGCAGCACCGGACGTGAGCTCAGACTGGCCCCTCAAGTCACCACCCGTCCAGACTTCTCCCTGCACCGGGCCCTGTTGCCACTGCTGGTGGGGAGTGGGGCTGGCACCTGAGCCTCTTCGCCTCTGAATGCCCTTCTGTCAGTGGTGTTCAGTGCAAAGCCGGCCGTCGACACTTCATTTTCCTTCTTACAGTCACTCGTCCATCTGTGTTTATTTTTGCTGTGCAATTCTTGATTTCCTACCTTCCATCCACACAGCCAGTGTCCTGTGCTTATTTTTCACAACGTCCAGAACGGGTGTGTGTGGTGGTGTGCCCTCTCTCTGCACCTGCCCGCACCTTCCCCTTCCTGTGCACAGAGCTGGGCTTTTTACTGTCTCCCGACTCCCTGTAAATACCGTGAGTTCTGAGTCTTTGCCTCCTAATAGTTTTCTCTTTCTTTCAATTCTGCCTAGTTTTTGTCGTTGTCACCACTGTTTATTTATCTAGTTCACAGCTAAGCACAGGGCACTCAGTTGTGCTAGCAGTGCCGGGAGGCCCTGCCCTTGTGGGCTTACGGTCTCACCAGAGCAAGACGCAGGCACGAAGGAGTTGGGTGATGAAAACGCACATGCTGCCAGGTGCCACGAGACCTCGGGAGGCAGCACAGCTGAGAAGCGAAACCCGGGTCACGAAACCCGAGTCACGAAACCCGGGTTCTGGTCCCAGCCTAGTAGGTCAGTTCACCTCTCCTCCTTGCCCTGGCTGCAGAGGGAAGCCGTGCAACAGGGCCTGGCTGCGTCCCTTTCCACCTTGGTTCTCATTTAAGGCTGAGGGATTTGGAGGGAGAAGGGTCTGATCTGGACTGTGAGGATAGGCGTTTCAGATACAGCTTTGCCGCCTATGTTTTCCCTGCCGTTCCTTTTTAGAACAATGAGCGAGCTTTCATTTTTTTTTGAATTTTTTTATTCTTTAACTTTTCATTTTGAAACATTTCAGACTTAAAGTTGCAAAAAGGGGACAAAGAATTCCCACATGCCCTCCTCCCTGCTTCCCTACTGTGGGCGTAACCTCAGGTGACAAGCTCACGTGCAGGTGACAAGCTCGTGTGCATCCTGCTCATCCCACCAGCCTTCCAGGGCCCAACTGCACCTCGGGCTCTGGGCCAGGGTCCCACGTTGCGCTTGATTGTGTGACTCCAAGGCTCCTGCAGCCTGGGGCAGTTCCTCAGCCTGGTGTCTCTCCTTGTCCCTCTCCCTCTCTTCCTTTCTTGACTTCCTTTCTCGGCTTATACGTAGGTCCCTCCTGGTCCAGTTCACATTATGCGTTTCTATCAAGGATTTCACAGCGGTGACCTGTCCTTCCTGGTGCATCTGATCTGGAAGTGTGCAACGTGACCTGTCTCGGTCCCGGTGACATTAGCCTCGATCTCTGCATCCAGGGGGTGTCTGCTGGGTCTCTGAGACTGTGTGAATGTCTTGCTTGTCATTTTCTCCCCCACTGATGTCAACGCCCACCGCTGCTGTGGCGTCTGCCCAGCGACTACCTGTTTCCATTATTCTTTCCACACTCCCTGGTGAAGCCACGTGAGGAATAGCCTGCCTTCGTGTTTACGTGGTTGTTCGGTTATTTATCTATTTACATTTCTACCCACATGGACTCGTGTTTGTTTTATTCTGTGGGTCATGATCCATTCACGTCATGGTTGGTTTTCTTGCCCAAATCACTCCAGATGTGACCACTGGAGCTGCTTTACGCTGGCTCCTGTGTCCTCCCGACATGTTCCTGTCACCCAGCAGTGTGTCTCACTTTCTGTCACCTTAAGGTATTTAGAGCTCACCTGCTGCCCTCCCTGCCCCAGCCCTGAAGTCGGCCGTTTCTCCGGGAGCCCTGGCTCCATTTGGAAAGCATGTTTGGAATCCAGCAGCTGGGCACTGGGGAGCTGCTTGCTGCTGGGCTGCCCTTGCCTCTGGTCCCGTCCAGCCAGTCTTCCGAGCTTGCTTTTGGTGAGATTGTCCGGCAGCTGGCTCTCTTTGTGGTGAGACCTGGAGCAGCACTGGTGGTGAGCCTGTCCTCTGGGAGTCTGAGCCGTGCTCCGCCTTTGCAGGGAGCCGTTCAGGGAGGATCAGCCGCAGGTGTGCTCAGAGCACGTGCCATGTGTGCTCTCCGTGCGCGCACTTGCGTCCTCATTCTGATACAGAATGCGTTCTGTGTGGCCAGAGCCACGGAGGGGTTTCTGAACAGTCGGTCTGTTTGATTTTTAAGGTGCCAGATGTGCACCACGCTGAGCACCCTTGTCACTCCTGCCTCCTGGCGATTCCTCCCCGGCTGTCCCAGGTCACGGTCTCTATAGAGCCCTAGAGATTGCACCCGGTGGCCAAGTGACGAGCTTGGTTTCTCCTGCTCGGGGCCTTGCCTGTTTGTGGTCCACATGCTCTGGTAGTTCTGTCCCCAAGTTTCTGCCGTTACTTTATCTTTACTGATTAAAACTTGAGGTCCTAGGAAGTCAAAGCTGAAATCCGTGCACAAGAGCTGGGAAGGGCAACCTGCTTGTTGGCGCCAGGCCCGTCGTCCTCTCTCAGGAAGCATCCACCCCCCACGGAGCGCTGCATTGTTTTAACCCATGTGCTTTTACCCCGGACTTATTTTCCAGCACGGGAAAGACTTTGAAGCCATCCAGAACAACATCGCCCTGAAGTACAGGAAGAAGGGCAAGCCCGCCAGCATGGTGAAGAACAAGGAGCAGGTGCGCCACTTCTACTACCGCACCTGGCACAAGATCACCAAGTACATCGACTTCGACCACGGTGAGTGGGCACAGGCCAGGCCAGCTCCTGCTGGAGCGCGGTTTCTACAGCCCCACAGGACCTGCTCTCTGGCATTTTCCCACCCAGCTGCTCAGCCCGGATTTCCTCGCCTTGCGCTTTGGTGGTTTGCCTGGTGACTCTCGGCCAGCTTGAATTTGGAGGAAGCTACCCGTGTACCGCGCTCTGGTGTTCTAACTGCTGCTTTTCTGAGTAGTGTGTTGTGTGCTTCTGATGTGTGTGGGTCCTGGGTCCCTAGCTCACCTTGGGCCTGGTCCCTGACTATAAGTGAGGGCCCCTGGGTTCCAGCCAGGGGGCCAGGCTGCCAGCACTGTGCTGGCCCTCCTCTGAGTGGAGCACGTTGGGGTGGGAGTCGGGCAGGGCTGGCCCTGGCCTGCCTGGGTGGGTAGTCGGCTCTCCCAGGCTCTGCCCGTCTGTAATTGAATACAGATCACGCAGGTCTCTTTATTCACATGACCAGTTCACCTCCAGGCACACTTCTGGCTTGGAGCACCCTTTGTTCGTCATAGTCTCTGTTCCCTGGAGATGTGGCTGCCTGCCACCTCCACGTGTCAGGAGAACTGCCTCTACTCGTGCCTGTGCCACAGGCCTGCTCTTCATGCCTGCAGCGCACTCTGTGCACTCACGTCGCTGGCACCTTCAGGAGCCCGAGCCCTTCTCTTTGCCACTCGCGCTCTGCCTGGGGCAGCGTGGCTGTGCCGCTCCTCCTCGAGCCTTTGCCTGTGCCCTTGTGCCTACTGGAGCCTCTTGTCTCGGCCACCCCTGCATGTCTGCTGTCCACTTCGGCTGGTCCGGAAGGCTCTCTTGAAATGAGAAGGTGGCCAGCGACTGCGGAGCGGCGGGGAGGTTGTTCGGTAGATGCTGTCGACACAGGAATGGGATTCCACAAGCCTCAGTCGGAAAGTCTGCTGCTTTCCTGCCCACGGGTGGGGAAGTGCCTCAGGGATGCTGGGGTCCCTAGCGTAGACTCCCGATTCATACTCTCCTCTGAGGCTCAGGGTCTGCCAAATCTGGGCTGCTTCCAGTGTTGATTTGGGAAGGCACTTAAGCAAATGTTTCCTTGCTATTTTCCCTGCCGTGCAGGCTCCTAATCCTACGTCTCTGGTGCCTGGCAGTGTCATTCCCCTCCAGACCTCCTCTCCCATTGGGGATGAAGGGTGGACGCTCCCACACAGCCGCTGTGTGGGTCAGAGCTACCCAAGCCTTTCCCCTGCTCTGAGTGGGCCTGTGCTGTCCTCCCTCTTACCCCACCACGGCCCTGGTGTCTCCTGATGGGGCTCTTGGCGGGGGCCTGTGTGATGCACCTTGTTTCTGTGGCATCACGGCTCCTCTGGGGTCTGTGATGGGTCCCAGTCGTCTCAGCCAGGGGCCGCCAGCCTCTGCCTGTGTTTGCATGGGCCGCTGGCACGGTCAGGCCTTTGCAGCTGGTGGCTGCCTGGGACTGGAGGTCACGAGGACAGAGGTGTCTGGGTTCCTCGTACCATGCCGGTGGCAACAGGTTTCATACGTTGTAGGTTCCTGTCGTGGTGCTTCTGACTGGGTTGAAAGCAGTGGTCTGCAGCGTGTGGTGTTTGTCTGACTCGCCGAGCAGAGTGGGACCCAAAGTGCGTGCGCGCAGACGCACACACCTCTGCTGCGCTGTCGCTCAGGAGCCCGGGCCTTCCCGTGCGCTGCGGTCTGAGATCTGGTTGGTCTCATTAGTCCTGTGCGGCGTCCACACAGACAGATGAGTCCTGCCGGCCACTGTGCCGCTGGCGCCACAGAGGGTGACATCTGTGTGCATCCACGTGTGCTGGTGTCTCTTGTCGGGTGTGGCTAGTTTCACAGACTCTGCGTCTGGACCAGGCGAGCTCTGTCCCTCCCCTGGGTCTGGGACAAACACCCAGGCCGTGCCGAGGAGGCAACAGAGGGACCCACCTAGACCCTGCTCTGTCCTGGGACTACATCCCCTCCGGCCCTTTGCCCCCTTTCCCTCATCACCTTTCTGTGCTTTCTTGCTCTTGATGTTGCTTTCTTCTCTCTTCTGGGTTGTGTGTTTTTTTTCTTTTTGCCATTTCAAATAGGGGGATCGAAAACAATTTTTTTTTAAATTTTGGAGACAGGGTCTCGCTCTGTCACCTAGGCTGGAGTGCAGTGGCATCATCATAGCTCACAGCAACCTCGAACTCCTAGGCTTAAGTGATCCTCCTGCTTGAGCCTCCCGAGTAGCTGGGACTATAGGCACCACCACCACACCTGGCTAATTTTTTTGTTTTTTGTAGAGATGGCGTCTTGCTATGTTGTCCAGGCTGGTCTCAAACTCCTGGTCTTGAGTGATCCTTCTACCTCAGCCTCCCCCCAAAATATTTTTTGAGATATAATCCACATACCATAAAATTCATCACCTAAAATGTATAATTTAGTGGGTTTTAGTATATTTACGAGGTGTTGCAGCCATCAGTACTATCTAGTTCCGGAATATTTCCATCATCCCAAAAGGAAACCCTGTGCTCTCAGCCCTGGAATCTTCCAGTCTATTTTCTGTCTCCGTGGATTTCCCTGTTCCGCACATTTCTGGTAAACAGGAGTGCAGTGTGTGCCCTTTTGTGTCCAGCTTCTCCACTGAGCATAGGCTCGTAGGGCTCGTCCATATCACAGCGCGTCCCAGACTGCGGTCCTTTTCACTGCTGGGGGACTCCACTGCGTGGACAGACAGACCACATTTTGGTTACCCAGTGAATGGCGAATCCTAATGTTTCCTGAGTTCTTGTCGCCTTTGAGGGTCTGGTGAGATCTTGGATCTCAGAAAGGCGTCACGGACAGTTGGCCTGTGGTGTTGGCAGTGTCGCAGGCCCTCGGGGCCACCCAAGGTCCAGAAGCCTTGGTTTACAAAAGTCTTCAAAACCTTATTCTCAAGGCCAGGTGCGGTGGCTCATGTCTGTAATCCTAGCACTCTGGGAGGCTGAGGTGGGTGGATTGCTCAAGGTCAGGAGTTCGAAACCAAGAGCGAGACCCAGTCTCTATTAAAAAAAGAAATGAATTGGCCAACTAAAAATATATAGAAAAAATTAGCCGGGCATTGTGGCGCGTGCCTGTAGTCCCAGATGCTCGGGAGGCTGAGGCAGGAGGATCACTTGAGCCCAGGAGTTTGAGGTTGCTGTGAGCTAGGCTGAAGCCACGGCACTCTAGCCTGGGCAACAGAGTGAGACTCTGTCTCAAAAAAAAAAAAAACAAAACCTTATTCTCCACTTACTAATGTATTTTTCTTTTCCTTACTTGTTAGTATAAACACAGACAGATGTGGAAGCCTTGAAAAAAGGTCTCTGGGGAGAGAACCCGAGAGTGCCATTGGGCTAGAGAGTGGACGGGACAAGTGGCCTTCATCCCTGCCCTGGGATGACCCCGAGGTGCCTCCACTCTGTTGTTCCTGTGAAGTTCAGCTTCATAACTGAAACAGCCAAAGCCACAGTGGCCCAAGCAGCTTAGGTTTTATACTCTTCACATCAGAGGCTCTCAGAGGCCGCGTCCCCATCCCCCAGTGTGTTGCTGGGGGCAGGACAGCTCCAGGCAGGCGCTCCCACCCAGTCCGCCTCCTGCAGGAGCTCCCGCGGCACTCTGCTCGCACCAAAGGCCGGAGTGTGGAGCGCTGCAGTCCAGCCATACCTGTCCTGGCCTGTTTGCCCCCAGATGGGACGGGCTGCTGAGGGTGGAGCGTGAACGTCAGGCGTTGCAGGTGTCTGCGTCCCGGTTCCTCGTCCTGCCTGGCCCCGGCACTTGGGTACATCCTGTGTGTGCAGAGAGGGGTGACAGGACAGGTTTAGGGCTGTTCATGTCCATTGCCTGCACTGCCTCCTTGACAACGCCGGGGTTGTGCATTCTGTTTTCTCCTCAGGGGACACTTGCCCTGTTTGTTAGTGATTTTCTAACTGCTTCTTCCTTGTTTTTGTTTAACTTTTATTTTGAAAATTGCAAAAACAGCACTGTGCTGTGCATGCGCTCCGCCTAGCATTCCGAGGTGAACGGCTTGGGTGGCTAAGGTGCAGCTGCAGTGGTCAAAGCCAGGACGTCGGCGTGAGCCGTGGTGTCGACCTTGCAACTGTGTGCTGAGTTGCCCTGGATGTCTGCGTCTCCCCTCTCTGAAGTGGTCTCCCTTTCTCGCCCCCCAGTGTTCTCCCGAGGGCTAAAGAAGTCATCCCAGGAGCTGTACGGACTCATCTGCTACGGCGAGCTGCGCAAGAAGATTGGGGGCTGTGAGTACGCTGCCTGTCGGGGCCCTGCTGTCCTTGTCACCATAGGTCCTTAGTGCCTAGGAATGCTTCTGTTTTCCTTCTTTTATCTTGAAAACCTGGTAACAGAAAAATTGAAGGATTTGATGACCACCACACACCTGCACTTAGACTCGCCAGTTGCTCACGTTCACCCCACTGTTCTCTCCCTCTCTGCACACATGCGCACACGTGCTCTCAGGCACACACATGTTCACATACACGCGCTCTACCATTTGACTGTAAGGTGTCAGCCCACTTCACTTGAGAGCCCGGGTGTTTTCCCGCACAGCTGCCATCCTGCCATCACACAAGGACAGTGAGCAGGGACAGGCACAGGAATCTGACCTGCCGCATTCGGGTTTCCTAAAACCTCCCAAACCTCAGCCTGGACTCCTGTCCAGAGCTATGTGACCGTGGGTCTCTCCAAGTCTCTGTCCAGAAGCAGCCCGCACTGCTTGGTCTTTCATGATGCTGGCATTTTGAGGATTCCAGGCCGCTTGCCCCTCACTTTGGATTTGCTCTGGTTGTCTCCTCGTGGTCAGGTTCCCTTTAGACGTTTTTTTACACCAGCGTTAGATCAGGATGCTCTGGCCTTCCCGGGTGCCTCTTGGCCCTGCCTGTCCCTTCCTATGTGACCCCAGATGGCACCTTGCCATCCACAGGGTGTTGTAGGGGTACACACCACGGCTGCTTCAGAGGTTAAGTGAAATACCTGTGACCTATGGCGGCAAGCCCTCGCCATCTCCAGTCAGCTCAAGGTGGGTGGCAGACCCGGGAGGATCTGTCAGCCAGTCACCCCCACCTGCTACACTCTGGTCCTGCTGTCTCGTGTCTTGTCCTCGCTCCTGGTGGGCAGCGCTGAGAGCCAGGCTGACGTTTGTGTCTGCAAGGCGCTGCCTTCCTGCCACGTCTGTCCCCAGCGCAGCAGATGCTCGTCCTAACCAAAGGGACCAGAGGCCAGCGGGCAGCGCCCAAGCTCCCGGCCCCTCACCCACTCCTGCGTCTCCTGCCCACCTGTCCTGGTTGTCAGCCCTCTTCCGCCTCTGGAAGCATCTGTGTCCTGGGATCTCGTGCTATAGCTCTCTCAGCTTAGCTCTCTCAGCTTTCCTCTTCCAGGAAGAACAAGGACAACCCGTTCTTGACCACGTGTCCCCGCTCTCTGTTGCCTGGTCCTTCGGCATCGCCACCCAGGTCCTGGTTCCCTCCACAGACGCTTCATGGATGTCTCTTCTCCGGCCCGCCTGTCAGTCCCTGCCAGGTGGTGGTCCTTTGGGGATTCCCTGGCCCCTGGCCCTGGGGCCTCTTCCCAGGTGGCCTCCACACCTCTCAGTCTGCCCACTGCTGACACATCTGCGTCACAGGTCTTTGTCCTCGGCCTTTGTCCCTTCTTCTGGTTCTTGGTTCTTGTCCGAGTGGCCTTGCCTAGTCCTGCGGCTTCAGGTGCCACCTCTACGTGGAGGACTTGCATTGACGCCTCTGCTCCTGCGGTGACTGCCCACCTGACCCAGGACACCGTGGGTCTCAGCACCGTCCCTGCCCCCATGTCCTGGCCACTCTTGCTCATCTCAGCCTCAGCCCCACACAGAGGCAGCTGCTCAAAGCAGTGCCCCGGGGCTGCTCCACTGCCCCAAGTCCACCTTCCCCAGCCTCCCTTCCCTGCGCACCCCATGGGGGCGGGGCAGGGCTCTCAGCCTGCCTCCCTCTGACCTCTGTTTCCTCTGCTCCATCCTTCTCCCTCCTTGCCCTAAATACCGTCTATTCATGGCGGCACTTGGGGTTCTGCCCTGTTGTGGGCACAGTGCCGGGCATCTTTGACTTCACCTCAGTCTGTGGACTCATCCCCTTGTCCATTCCCTGCTTAGAACCTTCTCTTTCCCTGGAGTGTCATGGGACTCCCTGACCAAGGACCTCCCTGACCAAGGCCTTTGCACGCAGGTGTCGGGCCCTTCTTCCCAGCTACACCTCAGTCCCCTCCTAGGTGCCCCCTTGCCCAGCAGTGGGGTCCTGCCCTGCCCAGTCCTGGTGGAACACTGGCCAGTCCTCTGGCCCCCTGCATGTCACCACACTCAAAGGCACGCTCACACGCACACCTGCAGCTCACACTCCAACCTGTCAGCCCTTTGCCCCACTGGGGGTTTCTTCCCTCTGAACCCCTTCCCACCGCTTGCCCTCACTGACCGCATGGTCACGTGCTGGGCTCCTTGGTGTTCTCGCTTCACCTGTTGTATGATTTCGTGTCTCTTTGGGGGAAGGTGCACTCAGACCCGTTATGTCCCCAAGTGCCTGCATGTTGCGCCTTGCTCTGGCCCATTCAGAAATGTGCCCAGAGCTCTGTGGTCGGATGTGCTTTTAGTGGCTTGTCCTGCTTGAGGTCTCCAGACAGACGTGAGTCCCACGTCAGCAAACTGAGCCTCTGCTCACACATGTGGCCTGTTGGCATTGTCTTAGCTTCTGCACATGCTCGTGTCATCCCCAGTTAAAAGGGACCTGATGGAAGTAGGTGACGTGGTCAGCAAGTGACAGGGTGAGCTGGGGCGCAGGACCATACAGCGCCATGCCTGGCCGGCTCCGGGGCTGGCGCTCTGGTCCTTGTCTGGTGCAGACATCTGTCCAGAGACGGTTCCATGCTCATTGCCTGGTGACCGGAGCCCAGAGGCTGGTGATGAGGCCTCTGGCCAGACTCAGCGGAAAGCAGCGCTGGGCTGGGCCTCGTCCCTGCTGAACGCAGAAGTCCACGCTGTGGCCCTTCCCAGGGCTTTCGTATTCCAGCTGGTGTCATTTCCCTTCGTGCTGGGAAAAGTCCTTTCTTCTTGTCACGCAGTTGTGCTTGCTGTGAGTGCTCTTAGTTGTTTATTTGACAAATCATCTTCGTCTTCGTTCTTGAGAGGGGCTTGTGCTGGGCATAGAGTTCCGACTACATGGGCTCTTCCTTACACCCCTCCAGCTGTGCCCACCGCCTCTCCTGTGCCATGTCTGCCAGGGCCAGTGGTCCCCTGTCCTGTCTGTGTGAGGCGTGTGCTCTCACTGCCGTGACGAGGTTATCTTTGGCTTTTAGCCTGCTTGTGTGTGGGTTTTTCCCCCCAAAAAGACATGCAGAAGAATTCGAAGAGTTTTATAGTGAGCACTCAAATGCCCCTCACCCAGGTTCTCCCAGGAACTTTGTAACCCTGCCTGCTTTCGTGCACACTCGAGCATAGTGTGTCCCTGAGGGCATCTCCTCCGGGAGCACAGTGTATCAGGCCCATCGTCAAGCAGACCTCGAGGATGGGGCTCAGGGTCAACACGAGGACGTGGTCAGGTACAGAGCCCAGCAGAAAAGTACACGCAGGGCACAGGATGGTACCCAAGGAAGCAGGGTGTCCAAAGCAGGCTGTTGGGGACGGAAGTTCATAGTGGCCGTGGGACTCGGGGGAGTTTGGGGAGGAGAGATGGGCCGACGGCAGCCATGCAGTGTGCCTGCCTGGGCGAGCAGCCGGGTAGGACGTGCCGGCACCTTCCAGGTGAGCAGTGGCGCTGGGGCACTGTGACTGGGGCACGGGCTACAGCTATGCAGGGGTTTGATCCTGGAAGACCTTTGATATTTGGTGACAGGATTTGGAGTCTATGCTGAAGACAGTAAAATGGGAATCTTTAATGGTTTTGCTCCTAACTACCTCATGGTCTCATTTGTTTATTTTTCCACTTGAAGGTATGGATGACAAGAATGCCACCAAGTTGAACGAACTCATTCAGGTTGGGTAAGTCGCAGTTTTATTGTGAAATGTTACTTACTCCTTTTGGATGTTTACATTTAACTTCTGAAGTGCTGGAGTTGAAGTGTGTGTGGTTTTCTTCCCTTGCTCAATGAGGACCCTCAGAGTTAACGTAGTGTCATCTTGGTTATGTGTTCAGCTCTAGCAAAGGTGGTGGGCCCGGAGGACAGTGCTGTGCCATCGCCACCCTGGGGAGGGAGGACAGTGGTTGTGGTCTTGGGACACGCCTTGGTCTCACTTTCTCGGGCTCTTTTTCCTCCACCTTTGTGTGTGTGAGTGCTGGCCGCTGTGTGTCTAGAAAGCCTCTCATCCGGTAGCTGTTTTCTTGCCCCCTCCTGGGTTGCCCTGATGGTCTCCCTGCCTTCTTGGACATCAGCGCTCCTGTGCCTGCTGTGTCCCTCACACCCCGGCCCTCCCTGGGTTCACATACTCTCCCACGTAGCCTTAAAAAGGTGAATGAGGGGGGCTTCCTAGATCGGGTCTGGACTAGTCCGAGGCACCAGGAAGAGGGCCTCAGCCGTGCGTGGCAGTTGCTATGGCTTGTCACCTGCGTGGGCGCCCTCCCAGCCCACCTGCCTTCCACCCACACGTGGGGCCCTGGCGCCTCACCTGTTATTGTCCCTCAGAGAGGTGCAGAGACATCTGAGGAAAGGTTTGAAACAGTGCGGTGACAACAAGGTGCTGTGACAGTCTGGCGGGAAGTTTTCTGTCTGCAGCCGTAGAGAGAGAGGAGGCAGGAAGGCTGCAGATTTGTGTGTTCATTGTTTCTAGAAATAGCTGAGTGCCTCTGTGTGCCTGGCACAAGAATGGGTGCCGGGATGCAGTGGTGACAGAGCTGTGGCGTGGCAGCTGATGCGGGTCCATTGCGCAGGCCTTTGCCGTGTGTGTGTGTGTGTGTGTGTGTGTGTGTGTCTGTGTGTGTGTCTGTGTGTGTGTCTGTGTGTGTATGTCTGTGTGTGTGTGTGTAGACACTTAACCTGGTATGATGTTGTGATGAAGTTGCTGGGCTGCAGATACTGCAGGTGACCAGAGGGTGCCGGCCTTACCTGTACAGGAAAGGCTTTTCCAAAGTGATACATTTATGGCATTTAGGTCAAGGTCTTGTCTATTTTTGTTTGTGTTGTTTTACAGACAGTCTTGCTCTGTTGCCCAGGTTGGAGTGCAGTGGCACGATCACAGCTCACTGCAGCCTCCAGCTCTTGGGTTCTGGCGATCCTCTTGCCTCAGCCTCCCAAAGTGCTAGGACTACAGGTGTCTGCCACTATGCCTGGCTAATTTTTCTCTTTTTGTTATACGATTATATGAGTTTGATTTTCTTAAAACAGACTTTATTTTTTAGAGCAGTTTTAGGGTTACAGGAAAACTATATAGAGAGTGCAGAGTTCCTGTCTGCCTTCCCTTCCCACGTCTTCCCTGTTGTTAACATCTTGCATTAGTTGGTCCATTTGTCCACAAACCCCCACTGAGCGTCATCGTCACCCAAAGCGTGCAATTGACGTGAGGACTCACCCTTGGCACTGTACAGTCTGTAGGTTTTAACCAATGTGCACTGTCCCGTGTTCGTTGTGACAGCGTCACACGGAGTGGTTTCACTGCACTGAAAGTCCCATGTGGTCCTGCCCCCACCCCAACACCCACTGGTCTTCTCACCATCTGCTTTGCCCTCCCCAGAATGTCTCGTCTAGTCGGAACCATCAGGGGTAGCCTGTGTAGACTGACCTCTTTCTCGTGCAGTTCTGTGCATTTTAACAAACTCACCGGTGTGCAGCTGCCCACAGTCAGGACACAGGGCATTCCAGCACCTCCTAAAAATTCCTCACGGTGCCTTTGCCGTGGTCCCCTCCCTGTAACCACTGAGCCGCTCCCCATTCCCTGCAATTCAGCCTTTTCCAGAAAGCCACCCACATGGCATCACAGCTGTGGCCCTCTGAGGTTGGCTTCCGCCCTCCAGCAGTACTCAGCGAGGTTCCTCACGGATCTGCAGCTCCTCCTCCTTCCTGCTGACGTTGCTGTGCGCCGGCATCCCACAGGCTGCTCGCCCGTCCTCCGTGGAGCGGCGCCAGCTTGCTGGCAGTTTCCTAGAGTTTGTGAATAAGCATCCAGGTCTCGCTGCCAGGTTTTCGTGTTTCACCTGGGCCAGTCCCCTCGAGGAGGAGGTGGGAATGCATGTGTAACTTGGCGATGAATCGCTGACTGTTTCCCAGCGTGAGAAGTTGGTTGCTCCCCACGCTCCCGAGCGCCTGGTGTTTCCAGTTTGCTCGGAGCATCCTCCTGGGTGTGAAGCGGCGTCTCAGGATGGTTTGATTTGCATTTCCCGAGTGACCAGCAGCGCTGCGTGTCCTTCTTGGTCTGATTTGCCATCTGTATGTCTGGGTGCTTGTTCAGATCTTGCCCATTTTCTAGTTACTGAGTTCGGAGAGTGCTTTGTGTATTCTGATGGCCAGTCTGGCGTTGGAAACGCGGCACCCACACATTTCTCCCAGGCCGTGGCCTGCCTAAATTCACTGAGTGTCTCACAGAGCAGAGGTTCTAGCTTTGATGAAGTCTGACCTGTCAGCATTTCCCTCTGTGGTTTGTGCTTTCAATGTGGTATCCAAGACCTCTTTGCCTAAGCCAAGGTCAGAGATGTTCTTTTGTGTTTTCTTTAGAAGTTTTATAGTTTTACGTTTGAATCCACGATCCACTTTGAGTTACGTTTTGTGTGTGACGTGAAGTTTGGGCCAGAGTTCGTTTTCTTGCCTCTGGCTGTCGGGCTCTGCGGCACCACTGTGGGAACGGGCTGTCTGCTCTCCGCCAGGCTGCTCTGGCTCACGTGCCAGAGATCAGCTGTGACCGTGCTGTGTGCGTCCGTTTCTGGACCTTGTATTTTACTTCATCAGTTTATGTGTCCTTCCTTTTGCCAACAGACATTCTTTTTAAAAAACAAACAAAAAATCTGTAGAGGTGAAACAGATGGGGAAAATTAGTTGGTGGCCGTGGAAGACTGTTCCTTGGTTTCAGACCAAAGGCGACTGGAGTATTTAACTAGCTGTTGTCCATATTCCTCATGCAGACCCCGTTCAATTAACTGTGAATCTCTCAGTTACAGAATTATAAAATTAAATTAAGGAGTAAATGAATTGGGAAAAGGTCTAAACTAAAATTGAATCTTATTACATTATTTCCAGGCCCAGAGGCATAGAAATTTAGCACGTGCTTATTAGATTTACCAAGTGGCTGTGCAGAGAAGGAAACATATCAGAAGGGAAAGCTGGAGCCCAGACACGTAGAGGATTACTCTGTTATCCGTGTGCTAAACCCGTGGAGGGGTTCACATGGAGCCCTGCGTGTGTCGGTATATTCAGTTAGAGATCAAACTGTGCTTCTTCCACAGACATGAGCTCTTAAACCTGGCGCCCTGAGGAAGGCCTGGCCTGTCTTCCAGCTCCCGGGCTGCTGTGAGGTGGGAGGTGCGGACCACGTCCTGGGACTGGGGCCCAGCCTGGGCGTCCTTGCCCATGAGCCTGAGCGTGGCTCCTTACCGCATCTGCTGCCCGGCTCCAAGCTGGACGTAGAACTTGCATTAGGGAGAGGAGGATTGTGATCTGAGAATGGTTACTGAGTAATGAAAAAGGGGGCACTCGTTTTCATTGAAGAAAAAAAAAAAAGGAAGTCACAAAATAGCAGTTTAACGGAAGATGTGATTATTGTAAACACAGGTGCCACAAGACACAGCTCCACTGGCTGTTGAAACCCTGCCCACTGCTGATATTTGGGGCAGATGGAACAGAAAGCGAGGAGCAGAAAAGTCCATTTGTTTGCAGAGCACGTCCTGAGAGAGATGGTTTAGGAATTGACCCCATGCTTAATCGCCAGTCTTCCGAATGTCCCTTCTGGTCCCTTCTCCTGCAGCCCCTGTGCCAGTGTCATTAATAAAGCTGCATGGCAGGTGCCTGTAATCCTAGCTACTCAGGAGGCTGGGCTGGGGGGATCCCTTGAGCCCAGGAGTTTGAGACCAGCGTGGGCAACAGAGCAAGACCTTGTCTCAAAAAAAAACACAAAAAAAAAACAAAAAAAAAACAACAAATAAAAACCCAGAAACTGTTGTGGTGCCACTTGTTATCTGTATGTTACACCTGGGTTCAGGTGGTTGAAGAACAGTGTCTCAACAGAACATGTTATGTGGAGACTCTCGTCCTCTCTGAATTATGCCTCCAGACAGAAAGGTAGTGGGGGCATGGAAGCGTTCTTCCTGGGGCCTTGCCTCTTTTGCTAGGCTTTCCAAGTCTCAGCTCTTCTCTTTGGTATCTTGTGTTAGATTCCCAGCACAGAAGGAGCTCAGTCAGTACTCGAGTGGGTGGGTAGACAGACCAACAGGTGAGTTGAGTGGATGAAAAGATGGCGGGTAGACAGGTGAGTAGATAGATGGACAGATGAGTGAATAGATGGGTGGAGGGATGAGTTGACAGATGGAGGGGTGGAGAGATGAGTGAATGGATGGATGGATGGATGGAGGTATGAGTGGACAGGGAGAGGTGGAGGGATGAGTGGACTTGTAGCTGCCCTGGCATGAGGAATTATTGAGCTTTCTTTATGGAGTGACTACCCAGCTGCTACTGCTGTCCCCGCACTCCCCTAGGACCTCTCTGTTTGAATGACCTTATAAATACTTGCTTAAAGCCTTAAAGATTGTGGGGTGATGGTAAAATTCACGGTGTAGGCTATTGAGACTTTAAAATGCTGGAATTAGAGTCATTTACCTTTTAGGGAACAGGAGATCACTGCTTTGTTTCCTGAGAAGTGGAGGTCTCGGTGACACCCTTTCTCCTGTCTGGAGCTCTCTCTCTCTCTCAGATGTGCGGGAGTCGATAAGAGAGATGCTACCTCCTGTGCAGGATTCCTTTTGAAACCTTGTATTAGATTAACATTTCTAAAAATTTTGCAAGTAATATAAAATTATATTCTTATAAAATTTTCAAATAATCTATATAAAATATAAGACCCTCCCAAACATTCCATGGTACTCCCCTTGCCAAAAATACCCACTTGTAATCATTTTATGTGTGCCCTTCTAAATTTTTTTTTTAGGGAATTTGTGTACATAAATGTGAAGATACAAATTTAGAAATTGAATAGCAAGTATCGAAGCACCTCTCTTATCTGACGTGATCATGAATGAGAGTTGGTCAGTTAAAAGAATTAGTTAAAGCAGAAAGTTACAAAAACAGCATGCACATACCCTGAGCATTTTGTAAAACATACAAACCCGAGTCATTCACCAGCCATTGGATGGGGTGCCAAAGCCTTTTCTTTGATAGGGGCCTATTCCTCAGAACTGCAGGTTGGTTTGTTTTTTAATTAAAAAAAAAAAAATTTTTTTTTGAGACAGAGTTTTGCTCTGTCACCCTGGATAGAGTGCAGTGGTATCATCATAGCTCACTGCAACCTCAAACTCCTGGGATAAAGTGATCCTCCTGTCTCATCAGCCTCCCGAATAGCTGGGACTAGAGGTGCCACCACCACACCCAGCTACTTTTTCTATTTATTGTAGAGACGGGGTCTCACTCTTGGTCAGGCTGGTCTTGAGCTCCTGACCTCAACTGACCCTCCCATCTTGGCCTCCCAGAGGGCTAGGATTACAGGCGGGAGCCACCACGCCCGGCCGCCAGGTTGTTTTTCTCTGAGATTAGAAACTCCAGCCAAGATGCATCATTTATAATAGTTTTAAAGTCAAGCAAGGCTATCAGGGCCCAAAATGAGACCTCAGTTTATCCAGGTCCCCCGTCTTTAATATATTTGTCTCGTCCACACTTAATTTGCTATTTTTAAAACAGCCTCCTTTAGCAAGTATTTCGAAAGTATTCCAACTATATTTTTTAGAAGGAACTATTTTTTTTTGTTTTATACTCATTTTATTAGTTATATAGTAATTCTTTAATTTAAATAAATCCAACCCATCTGCAGTTGTGTTCTGGGCCTGCCTGAAGGTCGCTGCAGGGAGCATTTGGTGACCCCTGACCTCCAGCTACCAGTGCCCCAGGGTCCTGCCAGTGAGGTTTATAGGGGTTGGGGGCGATGCTGATGTGGCCAGGTAGTCATGTAGAGGTGGATACAGAGGTCACAGGGAGGTCATGTAGAGCTCTATTGAGAGCCTCTGCTTAGAGGGGCTGAAGAGGGAAGAGCTTGCAGACCTGGAGCAGGCAGAGGGAGGGGTGGCCGTCGGAGGGGCCTTCAGTGTGGTGGCCCTTCCGGGGTATGGATTGCGGCTCGTGCCTGCCAGTCACTGAGCGGGAGGGCACAGTGTGTTCCCTGTAAACAACAGCAGCCGTCCCCTTGGGGTGTTAGCTGTGGTCAAGAGAGCAGCAGGATGTCCAGGTCACCACATCATGTCTGTCACTGCGTCTACCCGCTGTCCTGGAAGCCCCGCGCGGCGCTAGGGAGGCGCTGGCGGGTGGGCTGGGTGTGTGGCCAGGCCCCTCCCTGCTCTGGCTCAGCGCCTCTTGGACGCACTGGCCTTTCCTTCCTTCCTTCTATTCATGTGGAGCCTCAGTGTTCCTTCAAAACTCTTTCCCCAGGGCCACCACTGTACGTTACAAAGGGAGGAACCTGCGGATCAAAGCACCCATGTGCCGGGCCCTGAAGAAGCTCTGCGATCCAGATGGTACGTGGACAGGGGACGTGGATTGGACACGGTGCCTAGTTGTCCCCTTTAATGACGGGCTGGCTGAGCTACAGCTGTCTCTGCTGTTCTTTGTGTCTGACCCCGCTTAATCACAGTCCTGTGAACCGGCTGCTCTTGAATTTGAAACTCCTTGTCAGAGCTGTGCGTCCTCGCAGCACGTCCAGTTTAGCTCAGGGGCTGAACAATTGGACAGACAGCCAGCTGTTGTCAGGATCGAGCTCTCGTGGTCTCTCTGGCCTGGCCCGTGGCTCTGCCTGTGCAAATGTGCGAGTAGCCGTGTCGGAGTTTCTTCCTGTGGAGCTCTCTCTGCCGTCCTTGCCTCCCTCTGCAAGGCAGTCTGTCCACAGCTCTCTCAGCCCACTGGTTTTCTGGCAGAGTACTTTGCCTTCTGCCTTGAGGTTGGTCTGCTCGAGACTTTCATGGTCCCCCTGTCGCAGGCTTGAGTGACGAAGAGGACCAGAAGCCAGTGCGCCTGCCCCTGAAGGTCCCTGTAGAGCTGCAGCCACGGAACAACCACGCCTGGGCCCGTGTGCAGAGCCTTGCCCAGAACCCACGCCTCAGGTAACGTGGTCTTCAGCGCTCTGACGGCGCATGGGGACGGGTGTGGGGGTGACTCAGGAGCACTGAGCTGCAGGTCCACACCTGGGTGGGGTCTTAGGCTGTGTACGAGCCCAGAGCACGAGTGAGAAGGGGAGTGGCTGCAGCCTCCTTCTTGTCACCCCGCAAGCCCTCACTGTCCTCCCCCACCGGCTCCCTGGAGGTTTGTGTCTGATTCCTGCACAGGGCACCCACCTGGGAATGGGCCTTTTCCACTTGTATGTTTTTTTAAATTTAGGTAAAATTCACATAACGGACTGTTAGCCATTTTGCAGTTTGTAGTTCAGTGACGTTTAGTACATTCACAGTGCGGTGCAGCTACCTCCTCTGTCTAGTTCTAGAACATTTTTGTTACCCCCAAAAGAGACCCTGTGCCATTAGCGGTCAGCCCTCAGTTCTCACCCTCACCCAGCCCCTGGCAACCCCAGTCTACTTCCTGTCTCATGCGTTTGCCCATTCTGGACACTGCGTAGGATGCAGGCGTGCAGAGTCTTCTGCGACTGCTGCTCGCACTGGGCGTAGGAGTTCTGTGTCCACATCATAGTACATGTCGGCGCTTTATTTCTTTCATTTATGTATTTGTATTTTCTCGGGATGGAGTAAGGCTGTCCAGACCCACCCTTCCTGAGCCCAAGAGGAACTCACAGCATCGGGTGGCAGGTTGTCCCGTGTCCTGGGCGAGACCGTGTGCTGGTGCGGGGTGCACGTATCTCCGTCACTCTGCGGCTCTGTGTGCGTCCACAGTGCTCCACTGAAAAGGCTAATTTTTAGGAAAAGGAGCCGAGGGCCCAGCAAGTGCCCCTCCCTGGTGCCTCCTTCCAAGGCTGGTTTCTGTTTTCGGTGCTTCAAGCCGAAGGTGTCCCTGTTGTCCCACCCTCCCTCGCCTCACTTGTGGTCTCTCTAGGATGATCGTGGAGCTGCACCGGAAGGTCTCCAGCCTTATCGAGTTCTTGAAGCAGAAGTGGGCGCTCCAGGAAGTGCGAATTGTATCTTTTTCCAGCCAAAGTAAATCCTCCAAATCCCGCACTTCGTGCTGCTTGGGAATGGGTCTTGCTTCCTAGTACCTGCCATGGTGGGGGGGCCGATGGGGCATAGCGGCTGTGCCATGTTGTGGTGTGCCACTGTGACCTTTGTCTGCTGGGTTTGGGTGTTGAGCCCTTCTCTGACCTGCAGTGTTAGGACGTGGCCACAGCCAGCGCTCCCCAATGTCACTGGCCTGCTGTCTGGCCCGTGGGGGTGGCTGAAGTGTTCCTGCGAGTAGGTTGAGCACAATGACCACGGGACAGCCCAGCCTTCTCCATGTCCTTGGCTGGCTCCTATGATATGTAACAGGTATGAATTTCCTAAAGATGCCAAGTGTCTGGGTCAGCACTTTTGGTAGTGGCATGAGGAAAGCCTGGTAGGAGTCAGGGGGCATGATCTGAGCCTCAGTGGTGCCAAGGCGGCGTGTGGCTGTGGTCTAGCTACGTGCCTGGGGAGCAGCACGGCCTTGGTGCCAGCCCGTGTGGTACCTTCCTTGACCGTGTGCTCAGCGGAAGACGCTCGAGGAGCGGCAGCTGCAGGACTCGTGCGCTGCGCCCACACAGGAGAAGGTGACGCTGCACCTGTTCCCGGGCGAGAACTGCACGCTGACGCCGCTGCCTGGCGTGGCCCGAGTGGTGCACTCCAAGGCCTTTTGCACAGTGCACTGGCAGGAGGGTGGCCGCTGCAAGCAGAGCGCCAAGGACGTCCACTCGCTGCCCCCAGCCCAGATCCTGGGCATCCAGAGTGGGCAGGGCACGGCCCGGGGCCATGTGAAGTGCCCAAGGGGTGGCGCCGACAGCAAGGGTGGGGGGCGGCCCCCTCCCACCACTGACATGTCTCAGAGCTCTGGAGAGAGTTCCCCTGAAAGCACCCCTGGGGAGGGGGCCACCCCAAGCCTGAGCATCCCCGACGCTCCTGACAGGCCTCCCCCTGGGCACCAGGACACTGGGCCGCATCTCGAGAAGACCCCTGCAGTGGCTCCTGCAGAGGGTGGGGACGGCCCTACCCGAGAGCTGGGGGCCCAGGAGCCGGGGGCCTTGCCATGTGCCTGCAGCCAGCTCCCAGACCTGGAGGACGAGCTCTCCATCCTAGACCCCTTACCCCGCTACCTGAAATCCTGTCAGGACCTCATTGTCCCCGAGCAGTGCCGCTGTGCGGACACACGGCTGGGGAACGTGCACCCTCCTCCTCCTGGCCGGGCTGTCTCCCCAGAGGCTCCTGCCCCTGGCAGCAGGGAGGCTGCTGACCTCGCCCCAGCTGGCCCCGGGCTCCCGCCAGATGTTTGCACTAAAGACTTGGCAGACGCACCTGCAGAGGAGCCCCAGGAGAAGGGGAGCCCCGCAGAGCCTCCACCGCCTCAGGGACAGCCTGCCGCCAGGCCCCCAAAGGAGGTCCCCGCCAGCCGGCTGGCCCAGCAGCTCCGCGAGGAGGGCTGGAACCTGCAGACCTCCGAAAGCCTTACGCTGGCCGAAGTCTACCTCATGATGGGCAAGCCAAGCAAGCTGCAGCTGGAGTACGACTGGCTGGCCGCGCTGGGTCCCGGGCAGGCCCCCGGTGGGCAGGGCCAGGGCCAGGGTGCCCGGCCCGGCTCTCCACCCACCACGCTCCACAAGCAGCGCCTCCTCCGCTGCCTGCTAAAGCTCATCTCCACCGAGGTCAACCCGAAGCTGGTGAGTGGGTCGGGCTGTCAAAAGCAGCAGCCGGGCTTTTACAGAGTCAGGGCTGGTTTCATTGAGAAGTCTTCTCGAGGGCTAGAGACTGAGGCCTGCAGCCCTTCGGAGCGGTCCTGGCGACTGCGCAGTGTTCCAGCTCCCAGCGTCGTGGGGCGGTGCGGGCTCCGTCACATCAAGGTTTGGGTGTGAGTGCACGTCAGGCTGCAGGCTACAGTCGCACAGACACCAGCCCCGTCAGACGTTATCTTACGTGCAGGGAAAGGCAAGGACCTGGGTCATTTATCCTTTAAGCCAGCGGTCCCCAACCTTTTTGGCACCAAGGACCTGTTTCACGGAAGGCAGTTTTCCATGGACCGAGGCGGGGTATGGTTGTGGGATGGTGTGAGCACATTGCATTTATTGTGCAGTCAGCCCTCTCTGCTGCTGCTGCTGATCCGTATCTGCAGCCGCTCCCCAGCGCTGGCATCACCGCCTCCTCTCCACCTCAGATCATCGCGCATTAGAGTCTCCTAAGAAGCCGCAGCCCCAGTCCTTCCATGTGCACTTTACGGTAGGGTCGGTGCTTCTCTGAGAATCTAGTGCTGCCGCTGATCTGACAGGAGACGGGGCTCAGGCAGTGATGCCAGCTCTGGGGAGCGGCTGTAAACACAGATGAAGCTTCGCTTACTCGCCTGCTGCTCACCTCTTTCCATGCAGCCCGGTTCCTGACAGGCCATAGACCGGTTCTCAGTCTGGGGTTTGGGGACGGCAGTTTTAAGGAATACAGTGACTTGGCAGATGGCAGGATGTGGGACAGTGGGCTGTGTCCTGTTTTGTCTTCAAGGCTTCTTTTCTGCGAGCCACACGTTATCACAGAGTCCAGGTCTTATGAAACTACGCTGGCAAGCAGAAATGAGCAGACGTGTTTTCCAAGACCACTTTGTCCTCCTGGCCTCCTCAGGGGAAGCCAGGCCCAGTCTGGAGGGCCCTCAGCTGGGTGGCGAGGCCTGCTAGCAGTATGGGGTCCAGAGAGGATAGACACGGTTCTGTGGCAGGGGCCCAGAGCCAGTACCTCAGGGAAGGGGAGAGGCAGGGGCCCGAGTCCTATCCCTGTGCTCTCTTGGACAGACTGTCCCCGCTGTGTTGTACAGTGTGTGACGAGGTCAGGGCTGGGGGGGGGGGTGCTGCTGGCAGGCCGAGGTGGAGGAGCGGAGCTGGTGAAGGGCTGGGGGCAGGGTGGTCCCTGCAGTGTGTGGGTGCCTCTGACGGTAGGTGTTTGAGGGCTGGGGTCCTCTGGAGGCTCCTTGTTTTGGGTGGTCCTGGAGCCCAGGCAGAGGTCCTACCACAGGGAGGCCCGTTAGTGGAGCTCACAAATGGGGTGCAGAAGGCGCCGCTGATGGGACTAACCCCATCCCGCACCCTCCAAGTCTGAATAGGATCCCCTGGGTCCGAGAGCAAGGTCCTGGGGCCCGAGAGAGTGGTGTGTTATTTTCGTTGGCGAGATGCTGGAGGAGCCGCAGGTGGGGGGAGGCATGAGCACCAGTCCCTCCAAGGACCAGGCCAGGGGTTTTGCGATTAGACTGTGTGTGAAGTCCGTGTGCCTGTTTACTCGTGAGCCTCACACCTGCTGTCTTATTCCTGGTGTTGGTCATAGCTCCTGCCCCCGTACCCCTGGGTTGTGCTCACAGGGAGAGGGGCTTGGTCACCACGTGGCGAGAAGGAGCTGGAGACGGGGCTTGTGGGGGTGCTGGTGACTGAGCCCAGCTCTCAGGTGGTCCTCAGGCCAGGCCGGACAGGGAAGGTGGCCTCAGGAGGAGCAGTGGGGAGGGGACTCTTGGGCCAGCCCAGCTGTAGGATGATTGGGGTGAAGGAGTGGAGACCCACAGGCAATGGATTTAAGGACTTTCCAGGTTTGGATCTTGGACAGTCATAGGAGGGGACTGAGGAAAGATGGGTGTATCCAGGTGTCTCGGGAAGGAGGCACAGTGGGGCATCCCAGCCTTGGCCTCAGTAGCACAAGGTGCAGGGCCGGGTGGATATGTGGAGGGTCGTAACTGGGCCCTCCAAGTGCAGCATCCCTGACGGTGTCCCCAGCCAGTAGCTCCCATCACCTGAGCACTTACGAGGAATGCAGATTTGGGGACAGGTCCAGCTGTCTGTAGAGACCAGGCCCAGGTGGCTGGTCAGGCTCAGGTGTGGGAACCACTGCCTAGAGGCTTGGCAAGGCTGGAAACCTTGAATCGGAGGCAGACCCCCTGTGTTCTCCTTCTGCCGATCCTCACCCGTGGAGCCGTGACGGGCAGGTGCCCCGGCAGGCCGAGCCTCAGAGGTCAGGAGACGCTAGAGGCCAGCGGAGCTGCTCAGGCAGGGGTGGAATCAGTGAAACAGGAAAGGACTTGAGGCTGGTGGGGCAATGGGATCTATGGAATGGCAAAGGCAAGTGGCCAGGGGCTGGAGGTGCCGAGCGAGCAGAGTCCATGAGGCTGTGCCAAAGCACAGGCTGTGTCATTCACAGGTGAGGTCGTGCCTGGTGGGACCTTGGGAGTGGGCACCAGGAGTGCAGGGGAGAAGCGCCAAGAGGCCGGGGCCTTGGCCAGGTTTCCCAGGGTGCTGGGACATCTCTGTGGTGAGCCAGGTGGGCCCAGGATGCAGCAGCAGCCGCCTCTGCAGGGCCCCCTGGCCTGGGGCTTTGGCTGCGCAGAGGCCTGTGCTGCGACTGGGTTTGGTTCTGGAAAGTGAGTCTGCGTTTCTTTCCTCTGACTCGAGAGCAGGAGAGGCTGCCGAGGTTGTCTCAGGCTGGCTTTTTAATGCAGCTTTGAACGTGCCATCCGTTGCCTGCCCCTGCAGCCCTGCTCAGAGTGGGCGTAGGCCAGGCCGTGTGCAGGCAGTGTAGACAGCGTAGACATGGAAGGGTGCTCGGGATGGGGCGGTTCTCGTTGTTTCCCTGACCAGAGACCTTTAGAACTGGTGAGCTGCCGAGTGACTCTGGGGGATGCCACGGTCGGTGGTCCCCCTCTGGCCTGACCTCTGCCATCACGCAAGCGCCTCCCAAGTCCTTCCTGACCTCCAGGGTGTCCTCACGCTCCTGCTCCTGGGTGCTCGTTCAACAGTGGTTTTTCCTGTGCCGACTTTGGACATTGTTTGGCCCATTTCTGCCCCAGGCTCCGGAAGCAAATGCCATGTTCACAGCCTCGGCGAGGCCCTCGCAGGAGGAGCAGTCCACCACACCCCCAGGGAAGGTGGTGACCATCAGCAACCGCAGCCCCCGGTGTCCCCGGAACCAGGCCGCCCTCCGCAGCAGCAAGACCTTCCCGCCCAGCTCTGCTCCTTGCTCCTCAGGTGAGGCACGGCGACTGCGCTCCCCACCCCCGTGCTGGAGTGCCCTGGAGGTGCCATCCGTGGTCCTGGATGGGCTTCGGGACTGAGATGCAGGTGTGCCTGGGATCTGGGCATGCCGTCCAGCCTGCCACCTGAGAAGCCCAGTTGTTTCTGAACCTACAGCAACTGTTTTCTTTGTATCTAAAATATTAGACTAAAGAAGGCTTTAGTTAGGATGTGCCAGCAGTCCTAGAGAGTCCTAGAAAAAAGATGGAATGAGCCGCTGTCCACAGTGTGCTGTCCCAGGTGTACGCAGGAACTAATCCCAATGCAAGGTTCGTAAGTTGTGTTACTGGAGACATGAAACCTGAAGGTCGACGTAGCCTGTTTTCCAGGGCATCAGTTTTACTTGCTTTTAACCTGTATTAAAACAGGCTATCGTAGCCAGAATGGTGAATTTTAAAGGTAGAATAAGCAACTTGAACACTTTCTGTGGCTGGACCCGTGTCCCTCTCCTGGGCACAGAGGAGGTGGTGCCACTGGGGTTGGCACGGCCCATCCTGATTCCTTGCTCTTCCCAAGACCAGTCTGTGAGACGGGTGTCACTGTGCAGGCGGGGGCCATTGGGGGCTGAGCACTGTGTGCTCCTTCTGTCCTGTGCCCTGGAACGCCATTCCATGGTTTGGCACGGAGGGTGTTGTCTCGGCGGCGTTGCTGGCGTAGGTGCCGTGACTGCAGCGTTGGCCCAGGTCTGTGCCCGGCGCCTGCGTCTCAAAAGCAGCAGCCTCGCCTCTGCTGAGTTGGCCTCCTAGAGCCGGGCGAAGCGCTGGCCCGGCCAGGTGCTGAAACACACACAGCTGTCTGGCCAGACGCACCCAGTGTCCCTGTGTGTCGACGGCTCCCTGAGGTTACTTGCCTCTCAGAGAACGTCACTGGCTTCTGGGTTTTCTCTGATAAGTAATGTTGTGGATGACCCGCCGTGAGATGCCGGAGGACTCCATTTCCCGGGGTCCATCCTGGTGGGATGGTGAAGCTGCTGTTGCGTTAGCACGCATCCTCCTGAAGTTCTTTTCTTCTTGTTTCTTCTTCTCCTTCCTCCGGTTCCTTCCTGGCAGTCTGGTGAGGACACGGTGCCAGTAGGCTTGAGTCCTGGTAGACATAGCAGTGACACGTGCTCATTGCTAGTGGCCATTGGATGGGTTGTGTGGGCTTTTCCCACCTTCCATTCTGATTTTTAAATTTTTTAATTCTGTGTACTCTGTAATTTCCTCTTTCTGAATTGAGCAAAGAACCTGTAATTCTAGAAATCTACGATAGCGTGTGGAAGACCTGGCTCATGGGCTGTGTCAGTTTAATCCACAAATCTGCAAAGTATAAAGAGGACCTGGATGTGGTGGCTCACACCTGTAATCCTAGCACTCTGGGAGGCCAAGGTGGAAGGATCGCTTGAAGCCAGGAGTTTAAGACCAGCCTGAGCAAGAGCAAGACCCCATATCTACTAAAAATAGAAAAATTGGCCAGGCATAGTGGCACCTGTAGTTCCAGCTACTCAGGAGGCTCTGGGCGCTTGAGCCCAGGAGTTTGAGGTTGCTGTGAGCTAGGCTGACGCCACAGCACTCTGGGCCGAGCAACAGAGTGAGACTCTGTCTCAGAAAAGAAAGAACAGAGAGGGGTGGTTCCCACTATGAATTTTGATGGTGATGAAAACAGCAGATTGAGTCCCACAACACTAGTTGTGAGGTAAATATTTTCTGTTCTTTTATCTCCAGGTCTATTTTCTAAAAACTAGAGATTTAGACAAGGTTTAGCAAACCACAGTCTGTAGCCCGAATCCAGCCTGCTGCTGCTGTTTCAGGCGAGGCCTCACTGGTGCAGCGCCAGGCTCGCCTGTCTGCGTGTAGTCAGTAGCTGTGCGTGCTGCAGACAGGGCTGCTTGGGGATGGTTGCCCGTGAAGCTGACGTGGGGCGTCTGGCCCTTTACCGGGAAAGTTTGCTGGTTTCTGGTCTGCAGTAGGTGACCTTGAAGGCTCTTCTAGCTCTGGAAACTCTTTTTTAAGATTTCATTCATTCATTCATTTAGGCAGTAGAGACAGGGCCTCACTATGGTGCCCAGGCTGGTCTCAAACTCCAGGGATTACAGGCGTTCGCCACTGCGCCTGGCCCCTGAAAAGTCCTCGTACTCTCTGCCCCTCCCTGGGCACTGAACGGAGCGGTGAAGTGCTTTTGTCCTATCCAGGAGACCTGCTCAAAATGGAAACGAGAATCTCAGTGAGAATGATGGAAAGTCAGCCTTCTCACGGGACTGAGATACACCAAATTTCATTTCAAGGCAACTGAACAGGTTGCCAAGGGGATTCCTTTTGGATTTTCTTCCCAGTAGGACCGCACTCCCCTGGAGATGTTGCTAGGTGAGTTGATTCTCCCTTCTCCTTTTCCAGGTTTGGGAAACCCTCCGAGACCCCTCTTGGTGGCTGGTTCCTCTAGCACAGGAAGCAGTGACTCAGATGGTGGCCTTTTTGCTGTCCCAACAACTTTGCCACCCAACAGCCGACACGGGAAGCTCTTCTCTCCCAGTAAAGAAGCAGAGTTGACGTTCCGTCAGCATCTGAACTCCATCAGCGTAAGTGCAGGCCGCGCTGCCCTGAGTGCCAGGCGCCCCCCAACCCCCCGTCTGTGGAAAACGTACCTTCAGGAGCCGGGTCCTGTTTCCTTTACAGATGCAGTCGGATTTCTTTTTGCCAAAGCCCAGGAAATTGCGGAACCGGCACCTGCGGAAGCCACTGGTGGTCCAGGTCAGGGAACCTCGTTCAAGTCTGCATGTGCCCGGCCTTGCAGCTGGGCCTCCTGGCCCTCCTGCTGGCCAGGCTGACAGGTCACACTGGGTTTCTTCTGTATCTCAGTTTTCATGGTGTAAAATGGGGAAATCCCGGCACCTCCTTTCCTCTTCGTGAATAGGGTATATACAAGCAGCAGCAGCGAATTTAACAGTACCTGAACATGAGGATGACCTCTGAACAACGTTGAAAACTACTTGCAAAAAAGACAAAGTTCTGGGGATTCATGCCCCAATAGTGTCCTGGGATGTATTCGAGGATCGTCAGAACATCTATTTGTAAATATTTAGTCAGTGGAAGCAGCTGGCCAGAGGCCTGACCTCTCAGGAGCCTGTGATGATGAACTTGGGAGGACCCAGGGAAGCTCAGGGAAGTAGAGGCACATGAGAAAGAGGACACTGTCATTTGAGGTATAAGACAAGGGAAGTGAGGCTGGAAGTCTGAAATAACTACAGCCTTAGAAATTCATAAATGTGTACTTTTTTGGATTAATGTTTTTCATAGGCTCTTAGAAATCTTTTTTCTCTTGAGATTAGTATACTTGGAAATGAGTGATTGCGTGAAAGGTCTTAGGAAGAAAGATGAGTTCTAAATCTTAGGTACTTTGTATTCAGATTAATTTAGTGCATTTAATCTCATACATTTCATCCTTTGCATTTGAAATGAAAAATACTCCTGGCCGAGTGCACACTGTGGCTATTTAGTCCAGCGTAGAAGACTATGGCCCAGGGACCAAGTGCAGCCTGATTGTTGTTTTTTTATTTAAAACAGCTTTATAGATACACAGTTCACACACTATAAAACTAGCCATTTAAAGTATATAACTGGCAGTTTTTACTCAACTTATAAGGTTGTACAACCATTGCCACTGTCTGATACCTCAACACCATCACTCCAGAAGGAAACACCATAGCTATTAACTCACACTGCCTTCTCACCACAGCCCCAGCAGCCACTGATCACTTTCTGTCTCTCTGGGTTGGCCTATTCTGGGCGTTTCCTATAAACGGCATCATACAGTATGTGGTCTTTTCACTCAATATTTCTGCATGTAACGTTTTGCTGGCACACAGCCATAGTCACAAATTTCCATACTGGCTGTGGCTATTTCCCAAGGGCAGGGTCCAGTATGGTCCCCAAACCTAAAATACGTCCTGCCTGGCCCGTTCCAGAAAGAGCCTGCCGGGCTTCGTGTCAGCCGCTGGCACAGAGCTGGCCCAGGCCGTGTGTGGCTCGTGTGCGTGGATCGTGGCCTGCTGCTGTCCCAGCATCGCCTCCGTCCCAGCCTCTGCCGACACGCCGCGGGGCGCCACTGAGGGTTGGGGAGTGGTCTCGGGCCCGAGTCCTTGATGTGAGAGCACAGAACGGCAGCTGTGTACCTGGAGGCTGAAGTGACTCGTGGCACTTTGGAGTTGACAGCTGCCTTTTGCTAATGTTTTATTCTGATTGCTGACAGTTTTAGCAATGAGTGTATTTCTCAGGTGGTGGTCGTCGCCTTTCACAAGTGTCCTTAGTGCACTGCTGTGTGCCATTATTCGCACACAGGAGCTCCATGGAGGAGCAGCCCATGCCCTTTAGGGTCTCTGGGCTACGAACCAGGAGCTTTCTTTCCTTCCCCTCCACACGTGAGGAAGCCCAGAGTAGCGGGTGTCTCTCGGAGAAGTCCACATCCAGTAGTTATATAGTTGCATTCCAGCCAAGTGCAGAAAAACATTCTGGATTAAACGGAGATGATTGTGACATTCCTTCAGTTTTCCCTGGGAGAGGCCGGATTCCCTAGTTTGTTGTGGAGAGGACCTGGTGTTCTGAGGTCCGGTGTCACAGGACAGAGTGGTCTCAGGTGTCTGGGCGTGTGTGTCGTCACCTCACCTGGTTGTGCTCAGCTCCCTTTTCCTTGGAGCATCCCTTTCTATGTTACTGGGTGTCTGGAGCAAGAGTGTTTTCATCGCTCTGATTATTGTGGTTTTTCCTTCACAGAGAACGCTGCTGCCCAGACCCGAAAACCAGTCCCACAACGTCTGCTCCTTCTCCATCCTGTCTAACTCCTCTGTGACTGGTAAGGATCCGGTGCCCCGAGGCAGCTTGTCCTCCTCCTTACTCGAGTGTGGGTTTGTGCTTAGGAACACAGGTGTTGATTTCCATGGCTCCTTGAGTGACATTTTAAGTATTCCTGGTGTGCCTTTGCTGGGTCTGGCTGCAGTGGCAGGCCAGGCATGGGCCCTGCAGCCAGCAGTATGGAAGTGCCTCTGCCAGTGTGGTCCCGGTGGCCCTGTGTGCACGCCTTGCTCATTGTGGTCCCGGTGGCCCTGTGTGCACGCCTTGCTCATTGTGGTCCCGGTGGCCCTGTGTGCACGCCTTGCTCATTGTGGTCCCAGTGGCCCTGTGTGCATGCCTTGCTCATTGAGGTCCCAGTGGCCCTGCGTGCACACCTTGCCCAGTGTGGTCCCGGTGGCCCTGTGTGCACGCCTTGCTCATTGTGGTCCTGGTGGCCCTGTGTGCACGCCTTGCTCAGCATGGTCCCGGTGGCCCTGTGTGCACACCTTGCTCAGCGTGGTCCCGGTGGCCCTGTGTGCACGCCTTGCTCAGCGTGGTCCCAGTTGCCTTGCATGCATGGCTTGCTCAGGTCAGTGCAGTGGCCCTGTGTGCACGCCTTGCTCAGTGTGGTCCTGGCGGCCTTGCATGCATGGCTTGCTCAGCGTGGTCCCGGTGGCCCTGTGTGCTTGGCTTGCTCAGCTCAGTGCAGTGGCGCGTTTGTTGCCCACTCTCCATATGTGATGCCTTGTCAGGCGTGTTGCGGAGTATGTGTTGTTGGGTGTATGAATCGCACTTTCATACGTCTAAATCCAGTGGGGCCCTGGCTCTTTGAAGTCAGCCTGGTCCAAGGAGTGTCCTTAGTCAAACACACGCTCTGTGATTTGTGTTTTTTACCAGTCTTGGTTTTCGCATTGGCTTACTGCAAGGCCCACACGTGTCCATCGCCATTGCTTTTCCTTGTGCCCCTTCTTAATTGTGGGAAGCCGAGCACAATCAAGCTCACCTGCAGTGGCAGAGCCTCAGTCCCAGATCGGGTGCTCTGACTGCCTCACAGGAGCCTGTGGCTCAGCTCTAGGGCCCATGGACCATAAAGCGCCATTCTCCCCAGATGACAGGGGTGATCACAGCCCTTCAGCAGCTCCTAAGAGGCACAGTGGTGCCACCGTGGTGGGTGCCAGAGCTCCTCTCCCTGGAGGGGGCCTGTGTGACCTCTGACTCTCCAAGTTAGCTAGTGCTTGGAATGTTCCGTGGCTTCTACCTTGGCTCCGCCCCCGTGACCCTGCAGTGGCTGCAAAGGCTCTGCAGGGGAAGGCATGGGCGGGCAGCGCTGACATGTCTGCTTTTGTCCTCGCCCTCGCAGGGAGAGGTTCGTTCCGGCCCATCCAGTCTTCTCTGACCAAAGCAGCTCTTTCCCGGCCGATCGTGCCCAAGGTCCTTCCACCCCAGGCCACGAATCACCTGGCCAGTAAGTGTGTGACCTGCACGGTGACAGCCACGTACAAGGTTTCTGAGGGATGTTTTGTCACAAGGTTTTAAATGTTTTCTTCTTCCAATCATGATGTCTCATCACTCTTCAGAGAGACCATCGGAGCCCTTGGCTCTTGCACTGAAATGAGTGTGAGGGAGAAGCTGTTCCCAAGCCCCCTTGGGACACATGGGATGTCAGTAGAGCAGAGATCTGAAGCATCATTTCTGTTGCCAGGTGCTATCGACTTGGCCGCGAAAAGTGCGGGCATCATCCCCGGGAGCCCCCTCCCTGTCTTGGACACCGAGGGCTTGTCCGGCCTCTCTGCACTGTCCTCAGAAGAGGTAGCAGCTGCCGCCTCCAGTCAGGACTCCACGGCAGTCCACCAGAATGGAGACCCCATCCCCGCCATGGGGGTGAGTGTATTTAGAAGGGCTTGACATTCAGCGTTAACAGCTTCTGGGGTGGGAGCCCAGGACGTGGGGCTGAGATCACGCGGGACTCCAGTCCTGCCTGGGAGAGGTTGGACCCTGTGGGCTGGAGGAAAGCATCTGAACGGGAGCAGTGGAGCCTGGTGTGAGTGAGCACCCCGTGTCCTTGGAGAGCTAGAGCAGGGACACGCGGGGCCGCTCTGTCTGGGAATAACCGACCGAGCCAGCCAGCAGTCAGCACGGCGGCCTCTACCTGGGCGTTACTGGGTGTTTCTCTTCTGCGAAAGGAAGGGTCTGCACAGTCTTCCTGTCACTCCTCATCACTCCTCCAATTGGCCTCGCTTCCTTGGCCTGCTCCGGCCTGCCTGAGGGCTACCTGCAAGAGGGGGTGGGCCAACTCTGTCAGAACTCTAGGGAGCCCAGCCCTGCCTGCTTCAAGGTCAACTTCTTGGTAGGACTTGAGTTTGCTCTTGGAGTCAACAAAAAGTCAAAACTGTAGGGCCCACACTCTGAAAGTGACTACTTAGCATTATCGGCCTAGACCCCTGCCTGTTGACTGTGCCTGGCTGTCAGGAGGTCCAGGGCGGGGGGTAGCGCTTGCCCCTGGAGCTCCGTCCCAGGCAGTGGCTTGGGCAGTGTCTGGCACACCATGCTGTGCTCATGGATGGGCCTGCTGTTCCTGCAGGGCACGAGTGACCCATTCGTCAGCATCCCCTCCAGGCCTGAGCAAGAACCAGTGACGGACAGTTTCCAGGTAGAGTGTGCCCTTGGGCCCCTGAGCCAAACAGCCTCACGACCCCTCCAGTGCCCTTACCCCCACCCCTGGTGCTGCCGGCATCTCTTGCCTGGATGCCCCGACTCAGTGGCTTTGTTGTCCCCTCACCCCCACGCCGTGCCTACTGGAGTGAGTGAATGAATGTGGCTGTCTCCCGTCCCAGACTCCCTTCCTCCCCCAGCAAGGCTGATTCATACCCAGCCCTGTAAGGACTCCGTTTTCTGGCCGTGGAGGAGGAAGCCTGACGGCTTGTAGCTCCTGTGGCGCCCACTCTGTGCCTGTGGGCTGTCACACTGCTGGCGGCAGTCCGAGCAGGTCCCGGCCTCTGAGGCTTGGCCCTTGACTCTGCCCTCGTGGTTTTGAGAGAATTAAATTCCCCAGGTGCGTAGGGGACTGCGGCACCCATCACCTCTGATTTGCTGTCACTGGCCCACCGAGCTGTGAAGCTAGGGTTGATTTTTCATTAGAGGTTCTGATTGGCCAGTTGTGTCTGAACAACACCTGTCTCCCTGCAGGGCTCATCTGTCCTCTCTTTACCTGAGCTGCCCAAGGCTTCTCTCCAGAATGGCCTCTCCACACTGTCCTCAGCAGAGGTCCCCAGCACCCGGCTCTCTCCACCGGACGTCTCTGCTTTGCTGGACATCTCCCTGCCAGGCCCGCCCGAGGACGCGCTCTCGCAGGGAGAGCCCGCCACGCACATCAGTGACTCCATCATCGAGATCGCTATCAGCTCCGGCCAGTACGGTGAGCAGCACGGCGGCCTCTCCCCTTCCCGGAACCAGGGGTCTGGCCTCCTGCCAGAGTGTTTGCCACACTCGCTGGGAGTGTTCCGGTCCAGCTATCATTTTTTGAGAATTGGATACTTGTTACCTACAAGGTGCTGCCTGGTCCTGGCAGAGGCAGTGCAGAGGGACGGTGCGTGTGGGACCTGAGGCTATGGCTGGTCCAGTAGGATTGCTCCTGACCTTGGGACAAGAGCAGGGTGGCCCGCAAGGCCCTCCCCAGCAGGGGATCAGAGGGGCATCTTCCCAGCTGATTTGGAATATGAGGGGCCAGCATGTGGGTGTCACGGCATTTAGAAGTGGCTAGACTGGTACCTGTGGGGCCTCGGCCTGGCCTGCTCCTGGGGCGATGCTCCTGGCAGTGGTGGCATGGTTGTTGGTCGCTGACGTGATTCAGGCTATCGGTTCAGGTGGACGGGAGCTCACACCCTATTTACAGGTAGTCTTGGGGAGGTGACCAACTTCTGAGCCTCACTTTCCTAAGCAGTAAACTGGGAATAGCCCGATTCAAGGCTGTTGTCAGCACCACGTGAGGATTTGCATGAAGACCATGGCGAGGGCCAGGCCTCGTCTGTGCTCATTACTGCCGTTGTTGTTGCTCTACATCCTGTCTTTCTTGCCACATGAAGCCCTCCTGAAGGTTCTGTGACCCTTCCCTGAGAGCAGGCTGTCCATCCTGGTGGGGGCCTTTGGGGTCCTGGGTCTCCCAGCTCGTCAGCACTTGGCGGCATGGCTGCACCACCTTCTCAGAGGGGGCTGAGGAAGCAGGGACCAGACTTCTCCTCCATTCAGCGTCTCTGACCCGGCATTTTGGGGGGCAGGTGAAGGCGTCCCTCTCTCTCCAGCAAAGCTGAACGGCAGCGACGGTTCCAAGAGTCTTCCCTCCCCGTCCAGCAGCCCCCAGCCGGACTGGATTGCCTCTCCCACCCACGACCCTCAGTGGTACCCCAGCGACTCCACCGACTCCTCCCTCAGCAGCTTGTTTGGTGAGCGTGTGGGCAGGGCTCGAATCCCCTTCTCAGACCAGCGGGCTGGAGTCTGGGAGATGGGCTCTCGTTGCTCTGTGGCTGAACCCCTGCTAGGGCTGTCTGCATGTTTCTCAAGTGTTGATTTTATTTTTAGGCATAACTTTTAGGTATAGCTGGGACTACAGGCATATGCCACCATGCTCAGCTAATTCTTCTATTTTTTGTAGAAAAACAGGGTCTCGCTCTTGCTCAGGCTGGTGTTGAACTCCTGGCCTCGAGTGATCCCCACACCTCGTCCTCCCAAAGTCTGTGATTACAGGCATGAGCCACCGTGCCTGGTTCACTGAGCTTTGACAAGCATGTACACCCTGGTAACCCACAGCCTGATGGGGGCACAGAATGTCCCCATCACCCCACACGTGGGCTCTCTGGGCCCCTGGGGCTTTCTGCAAGGCCCTACCGAGGGCAGGAGGAAAGAAGTCCCCGTCTTTGCACTGTTGGCTCCTCTCGCTAGGGTCAGATACGCTGAAGTGGCTGGTCCAGCTGCCTCATGGCACCTTCCTGGCTGCAGATGGGAGAGTACATAAGACGTGTTCGTTCTCATCCCCCGTCTGGCTGCTCATGGGGTACCAGGTGTCAGTGTGGTGGGAAGGGGCATTTCGGAAAAACACACCCTGCTCCTGTTTTACACACACACAGAGCTCCCCTAGCATGTCAGGGACCCACCCCCTTGTGGTTTTCGGGAACAGCCAGAGATGGTTGTCACAGGCAGCTGTAGTACGTGTCGCACACTGTGAGCTCAGTCAGCCCGAAGATGGCACCATACCTGATGGCCCAGAGTGATTCGGAGTCCTGGGTCTGGGTGTTGCCAACGGAGCCAGCCCCCCAGCGTCTCCTGCTGCCACACGTCCCAGTGCAGACACGTGCAAAGTCAAACATATGTCAGGAACAGCCTGAATGCCCGTCAGGGAGGACATGCACAGAGAACAAAATGCGGGGGCAAGGCCGGCGGGGGCAAGGCCGGCGGCTCCAGAGTGGGCACTAGGTGCTCCTAGAAAATGAGACGCACACTGTGCCCAAGGATCGTGACGTGGGAAAGCCAGTTACCCAGTGTCCATGCGAGCCCTGCCTCAGGACCCTCCCTCTGGGCTGGTTCAGACTGAGCTGGATCTCAGGGTGTTTCCTCTGGTCCTCTCTCTGCAGCAAGCTTCATCTCCCCTGAGAAGAGCCGGAAGATGCTGCCGACTCCCATTGGGACCAACAGTGGCACCTCCTTGCTTGGCCCCAGCTTGTTGGATGGAAACTCACGGGACTCATTTGTGTCCAGGTCCCTGGCTGATGTTGCAGAGGTAGGTGTACCAACCTCACACCTGAGCTTGACCCCCGCCCCAGAGGTGGCCAGATCCCTCCCCAGACCTGTGGGTCACTGAGAACTGCTTGCCAGGGTGGAATGCCAGGAGATGGCACATGCACACCCGGGTCTTTGACAACTACAAGAGTGGAGGGTGCTGGCTAGGCTGGGCTGGCATTTGCTCACATGGCCCAATGACAGACTCTGTGCCAGCTGAGCTCTGGTGTTGGGTGGGGAGCAGGGTCTCTGAGGGCGGCCGGAGCTGAGCTTGCATCCCAAGGTGTCCTTCACCAGATGTGTGGCTCTGGGCTACCTGGTTTCCTGATTTGTGAGGTGCCAGTGCCATTGTGGAGTATGTGGCCATAGTAAGTGGTCTATCATTGCCAGTCCTGTCCTGATAGCAGCCAAGCAGGGTCTCCTGCAGTGTGCCGTGGCTGGCCCAGTGGAGCTGGGCTGGTTCTGCAGGACTCTGCCATCCTTGTGCTTCTCCAGCACTCGGACTGATGATGGTAGGCATCACATTGTGGCGGCTCCTGCACGTCGGGGCAGAGCTTCACGTGGACCAGATGCAGTGTCCCTCTTTTGTTTGGCCAGGCTGTCTGCTCACAGCCACCCAGGTGTCTGTCAGGTGGTTTGAGTGGCGTCTGGGTGAGTCAGGCTTTCAGGGCGAAAGGCTTGCTGAAGGAGTGAAGATGAGATGGGCATCCAGCTGGTGCACGGTGCAGGGCGGCAGTGCTCCGGGGGGTAGGCTCAGAGGGAGACTCCTCCATTTAAACTGCCACTTGGAAGGGTTTGTCCTGTTACGAGTGCCAAATCTGGGTCCTGGGTATGGAGATAGTAGTAGGTATTCCTTGGGGAATTTGTAGGCCAATGCTCGAGGGAAACCCTGTAGCATAAAAAGCTCAAAAAACATAAATTGCGAATCTTAGGATGATGAACTGAGGGAAAGGCTTTGGAGCACGGGGCCACACACTCTGACTGGAAACTTTATGCAAGTGCAGACACGATAACACAATGGGTCCCCATCTCATAGCATATGGCATTTCTTCAGCCTACTTGGTCACAGAATCTTTACTCAGAGTACACCTGGGAGCGCTGGCGTTTCCCTTCCCATGTTAGCATGGATGTCTGTGCATACCCGGCCCCTGTGAGAACAGGCACTGCACAAATGTCCTGAGACGGTATGTCTCGGCCCTGGCGTTCAAAGAATGGGCCACAGACGAGCTGCAGAAACACCTAGAAGTTAGAAATACAGATTCTCAGGCCCACCCCAGGGCCCCCGAATCAGAATTTGCACCCAAGAACTCTGGGTGATGTGTTGCATATGAAAGTGAGCAACACGGAGCAAAACACATGGTCAGTGTTTGTGAAATTGTATCTTTAGTGAGTGACTGAAACACATCTTTCCCTGCAAAAGGGGCAGGTGAGTGTTTAGTGAAAGGGTATGACTGAGAACCCTACACGTGCTCCACTGTTGTGTCTGTAAGGTGGACCTCCTCAGCCGCACGTATGGCGTGGAACACCTGCAGACTGGCCCGCTGGGGGACATGAGCCTGTGGTGGGGTGGGTGGCCTGGGGAGAGGCAGAGCTGGACCGCCCCGATTCAGGAGTGTGGAAGCTGCTGACGGAACATGGGCAGGAGAGTCACGATCGCTCCGCGGTCTAAAAACAAGTTTAACTCGTTCGACCTTTCTCATAACATTAATAAAAAGTTTAAAATTTGGTTCATATCATAGCCCTGCTCTGTTTTCCAAAGCTCTCTCATTCATTCATGATGTTGTGCAATTCATTATCCACATTTATAGAGGGCCTACTACGTGCAGACAAAGGCCCTGTCCTCAGGACGGCTCCACCCAGGCACAGGAGGCGAGAGTGAACAGCGAGGACAGCAGGTTCCACCCAGCCGTGCGCAGGGTCAGATCCTGAGGCCTTGCTGCACATGCGTCTCCCCCTCCACTCCTCCTCACTCACTGTGTCGTGGCCACTGTCTCTCTTGTGCTTTTTGAATAGTCAAAGTCTGTTCCCACCTCTGGGCCTTCGAACTTATTTCTCCCGAAAGGAACATGCTCCCCAACTCGTCCTCAGGATGTACCCTGCCTCCTGCTCAGGCTCCAGTCCTTGGAGGCCCCCCAGCCTCCCTCCCTAGCAAAGGCTGTCCCCTCGCTGCCTCCGTTTCCTCAGGCTGCTCCTTAGTCTCTGCGGCTGTCTTGGGAGGGGCACCGCCACGCTCATGCAGCAGCCAGCCAGGCCAGGCTCACTTGCGCAGCGTGTGGATGACAGGTCCTTCGGAACTTCTCCAGAGTACACTGGGCCGCCGTCAGGGCTCACCTCCAGCAGCAGGAGTTGGTGGGAGACGGTGGTCTTCTCCGCAGGGAGCCTCCTCCCGAGGGAGGGCCATCCAGCCGCCTGCTGACATGGCCCGTGTCTCCTCTTGTGCGCAGGTCGTGGATTCCCAGCTGGTGTGCATGATGAACGAGAACAGCATCGACTACATATCTCGGTTCAATGACCTGGCCCAAGAGCTGTCCATCACAGAGCCCAGCCGCCGGGAGGTTCTGTTTGATGCTGGTGGAGGTGGCCCCCCCGTTGGTGACCTATCCCAGTGACTGCAGCTCGGGACGGGATATCGTGGAGGCTAAAAAGGAGGACTTATGGGGCTAGGGGTTCTCCTTTGTGGTAGCTGAAACTCTCTTCCAGCTAGAGAGGACAAGTCGAGCCCAGGACTCCCAGAAGATGATCTGAAGAGAGGCACCTCTGCACCCTACCAAGTGCCCCGTGCAGGAACCACTGGTCATGAGCTGTGTCCCCGCAAGCAGTGAGCAGTGATGTCCCAGGAGACCAGGACCAGTTCTTGGGAACGGGGGATAGCAGAAATTGCTGTGGTTTGGAGTAGTTCCTGGCCAGTCCTGGGTCCCGGACTGCATAGCAATGCCATTTCAGCCTGCGCTCTGCCTGAGCGGTTGTGTCGGACGTGCCAGTGGGCTTGCTTTCCAAGAAGGGAGCGTGTGCCTTGGCGTAGCTGCTGAGCTGAGTGCAGAGAGTTGCTGTTTCCCTCTCTCTGCTGGGAGCCCCCAGGCTGCTACTGCGTTCCTTCTGCCAAACCTGCGCCACCTTCAGGTTGTTGTCTCAGGAGGGTGCTAGGCAGGACTGTCGGGTGTGGCCTGGGCTCCTGCCTGGTGTTGTCACACCCCAGAGGATGTCTGAGGATTTCTGGCCATCAGCCCAGAAACACTCACCTCTAGTGCTCCTTGCCTAGCAGCTGCTCCGCCTTCCCAGGAAGGGGCATGGGAACCACGTCTTAGGCAGGTGGTGTAGACTTTATATGGTCCTGCTAAGCCGACTAAAAATGTTTTTCTTGTATTTTAAGAACTAGGGAGACATGGAAGAGGAAGAAGAGTCCCTGATAGTTGGTTTCCTGCCCATGCCCCTTTGCAGGTTTCTCCTGGGTGATCTTAGGTGTTGTTTCTCTCTGCTGGAATGGCCCTAAGCACTGATGTGACTACAGATGAGACTTTCCCGATGAGTTCTTGAGCTTCCCTGTGTTACTGTCCGGCATGTGGGAAAAACTTGCCATTGCGAGGAAAGTTTTCTCTTCTTCAGAGCCTTCTCTGCTCCCCTTGGCGCTGGTGCAGGGAGGCCTGGTGTACATGCTCAGTTTCGTGTGCTCGCCTTTGCCCGAGACTCCCATTTCTCTCCTGTGCAGGGCACGCAGGCAAGGGTTCAGATGTCCAGATGAAGTCAGAGCTCACCATGCCCCTGCCCTTTTGGTAGTGTCCCTCCTTGAGCCCCAGGTGACCAGTGTTATAACTGCAGATGGCCCAACGTCCGGTCTTTCTCAGATGGAGCTCACCAGGGCTCCTTTGCCTTCTCAGCCTCAGGAGTTCCAAGCACACAAGTCACCGTCCAGCCATATCCAGTGTGGCCAGGAGCCACTGCTGTGCTGTTGGGCGGGTGGTGCCTGCGCCGCCCTCTCCCCTCCTGCTTCGCCCCAACCCAGTAGCCGGGACTGATTGGGCTTTTCTAACCCCCCTGAACCTACCCTTTCTCTGCCTCCCACCTTTCGTGAGGCAGGCAGCAGCACTCAGGGCTGGCCCCAGCCCTTTGCACCATTTCTCTCCCCGTCCACAGTGAAGGGAACAGTGATAAGGGGGAAGACCTCAGTCCTGCTGTCCCACCGACGGTGACGCACTGCAGGACAGTGGGCTTCCAGGCAGGAGCTTCCTTTTGTCTTCTCTCAAGTTTTTCTTGGAGCTTTTGCCTCTAAGGTGGTTTACCTCCTTCAGACTTTGACACAAGATCTTAAAAAAATAGTCCCAAAGCTCTGGAGGGATGAAAAAAAGGAACATGGTGCCACTTTATTAAGGGTTATAAACAGCAGTGTTTGAGCCAGAGTATCTTTAAACTAGCTTGTGTTTTATGCTTAATATATTAGTCTCCTGAAATTAGCGTCTCACTGAGCTAAAGAAGATAAGTCGCTCTCCCTTGCTGGGTATGTGACGTTGCCAGGTCTGCAGTAAATTAGGACACCAGGCTGATGTTAGGCCACTCCAAGCTTTCCCACATTCCCACAGTGTAGGCCAGAGATGCCAAGTAATAGTACAGCCTTGATGCTCAGCAGTACCCAGGGGCCATGTGTGCTGTATGTACCAGGGACAGAGGGGCCTGAACTGTCAGGGGACACCCTGAGGCAGTGTGGTGTGTCACTTTTGCACCCAGTGACAGCCAGTGGGGAAAAACTTGGAGATTGGGATCTGCTTTGTAGGTTCCTTATTCATTTAACAGCACCTTTCACTTGGTTCTCTGGTGTAGACTCCCTCTGAGTGGGGCGGACTGTAGCTGTTGTCATTCAGTTGGCAGGTATCTTAGGGAAGAGAGAGGACTGACCATCTCTCCTGGAGTAAAAGTGACAAGATTCCAGAGATTTTCACCATTTCTCTAGCAGCTAGACTGGTACCTGCATTTGTTTTCATTATGAAGGGGGAAATGGTGTCAATTGTAGTGGAAAATGGATGCATTTTCTTCCAGCCTAAGTGAATGTTTATGTATAAACATAGGCAACTGTTAATGGCTGGAATTTTCAAAAGACTCTAGCAGAGAGGCCTTCCACTTCCTGCGTCTTCCTCTACCTTTCCAGTGGAAATAGTCTCAGTAAGAACCTGTGGCTTCCTTTGTGCATTTGAGCATGTGATTAAGATGAGATCATTTTCTTAGAAAAATCTTTCCCTAATCTCTCTAATGTTGTCTGGGGTCTTTTTGCTGATTCATCTTTTCTAGAGATTGAGACCAAATATCTCTGGTGTCAAGGAAGTTGGTGTTTTGGCTTTGATTCTTGATTGTGAATGTACAGTGAGAGCATTCCATCCCTTAGAAGGTGCAGAGGCAAGTTGAAGTTCACACTTTCATGACATTTTTTCATCGTCTATATCTAATAGGTGTAGAGTACTTGCTCAGGGAGTGGGAATCTTTGGAGTCATTTCCTCATTTGTTCTGCTTGCTCTCCCACACATCTGCAGTCTCTTAGCATCAGAATCCCATTTCTGTACGGTGGCATTTCTGGTGGATGTTCTCTTCAGTTTGATAGCATCTTTAACTAGGTCACACCAGTGAATCTAAACTTGCTCTGCAAAAAAAGTTGTGGAATATAAGACACTGGGAGCAAAGGAGGAAGAAGACAGTTGTGTTTTCTCTTTAAGCATGGAGATCTAGCAGATGCATTGGTGAGGAAATATGGCACTTTGTCTTAAGAAAAAAAAAAGGAAAGATTAAGAAAACAAAAACAAAAAAACAGCAAACCTTTCCCAGCTGTCAAAGCTCTCCTAATCTCACAATAATTTTTAAGTCATGTCTTGGAAGCACTACAGCAACCTGTGCCCTTTGTTCTATAACAGGATAACTGGCTCTAGGAATGGTCTGGACAGCAGAAATTGCTGTTTCCTTTAATAATAGTTAAGCCATATCATCTAAGGTTTTCGGCTTGTTTGAGATGTGAATTTGTTTTATAGATTATAAATATACATATACAGTGTATGTATAAAGCAGAATGCCTGTCTTTCCTGATTATTTTTTGTACTATATTGTAAATTATATTATTTATTCTTTACCAATTTGGGAATAAAAGGTGTTTTGGTTATTTAATATAATAAACAAGAGCTGTTAAACTTCTGTTTAAATTTCCAGTTCAACTTGTAAATGTTTTTATTGTGCATAAATACATACTAATACTTGATCTAACCATGGTCGTTCGGTAGTCATTTGTGCCTGAGTTGAGGGCCTTGTGCCTGCAGGGGCCGTGCGCGCAGGTGCTGCCCTCGGTCGGCAGTCCCACCGCGCCCCCCAAGTCCCCATTTCCGCCCCGTTCCTCGGCCTCCAGCCTGCTGCCCAATGCCAGCGCCCAATGCTCTGAGTGACGCCTTTTCTCACCAGTCGGCGGCGGGCGCGGCGCCGGCCTCTCCAAGCCTTCCATTCACTGGGTGCAAGCGCGAAGGGCGGGGTCCGCGAGGCGATAGGCTGCGGAAGCGAGATTGGCGTCGCGGCGCCCAATGGGCGTGGGAGGGCGGGCTCCGATACCTGCGCGGGGCGCGGCGGGAACCGCGGCGCGGCGGGCAGAGGGCGGCGCCGGGCGGCGGACGACATGTTCCAGGGCCCGGAGAGCGAGGGCGGCCGCGCGGGTTCCCGGTGAGGCTCGGGGCGGGCGTGGGGCGCGGGGCCGGCGAGGGTGCGGCCACGTGGCGGGCGGCGGAGCGGGGCGGGCCGGCCCGGGCGGCGGGCAGGGCGAGCTCACAGAGGCCCCGGGCCGCGCCTCAGCCCTTCCCTCGGCGTGCGTGGCCGGCCCGGCGGGGCGTTCCGGGACCCCGACCGCAAGGGGCGGCCCTCGAGTCCCTCCACTCCGTGCGGCCGGGCCTGGGCGCGGAGGGCGCGCGGGGTCTGGGGACAAAGCTGTGAGGGGATGGCGGGTCGCGCGGCCTGCGCCCGTGTGTGCCTGTGTGTGTACGTGTGCATGTTCCTGTGTTGGCGTGTGCCTGTGTGTGTACGTGTGCATGTGCCTGTGTTGGCGTGTGCCTGTGTGTGTACGTGTGCATGTGCCTGTGTTGGCGTGTGCCTGTGTGTGTACGTGTGCATGTGCCCGTGTTTGCATGTGCGTACGTGTGCCTGTGCCTGCGCCCATATGTGCCTGTGTGTGCTTGTGTGTATGTGTGCCCGCGCTCATGTGTGCCTGTGTGTGCTTGTGCGTGTGCCCGTGCTCGCGTGTGCATGTGTGCCTGTCTGCACGTGTCTGCGTGCCTGTACGTATGTGTGTGCCGGTGGCTGTGTCCGGGCAAGTCCACTTCCAGTGGGAAAGTACTGAGATGTCCTGGGAAGAAGATGACAGCCATCAGTGCTCAAGCAAATGATCACCTCCTTTAGTCTTCACCGCAGCCTGTGCAGGTAGGTGCTGTTCTCTCCACTTAGCTACCGGAGGAGTCTAACACCCAGCAACACACAGTGCACTTTTTTTTTTTTTTTTACATCTAAAGTGCTTTTTGGGTATTGGAAGTCACATAAATTAGAGTTGATGGAGCTGACGAGGTCTTTCGTGCCTCTTGGGCACCCAGCTTGCATTGTAAAGATTTGGGTCTTCAGATGCGTGAGATTTTTCTGTATTTTTCTGTGAGCCATTTCTGCGGCACAGCCTCTCTGGAAGTAAGAGAATGTGTGTGTGTGACACCTGTCAAGACAAATGCTAAATAGAATAAATGCTAAACACTTGTTCCCACTTGCTAAAAAACCCTTTTAATTTGGGGGAGTTAGGGCAGTATTCAGGAACACTAACCAAGTAGTTAACCATTAACCAATCTATGGAACAGTGACTGTTAATTACTCACCTCTAGGTCTGCGCTGATGTGGGACCAGGAGTTCATTATGTACTCAGGATGCACTGAGCACCTGCTGCCTGACAGCCAGAGCTGCGTACACCTGCACAGCCAGGCAAGGGCTGCGTTCCCAGGGGTGTCTCGGTTGCGTCCATTAAGTACATACCCTTTTTGTTTACACTGCCTGGGCTCGAGCCATCCTCCCACCTCAGTCTCCCCAGTAGCTGGGACTGCAGGCCGCCTGTTAACTGGCAGCCCAGTGGTTGAAGTTTATAAGCACCGCTGGGAACACTGACATTTTGCTGAATTTTTGAGTTCCAGAGTTAGCTGCAGAGGTAGTGCTCTAAAATAATATTTCACACCTCTGTGGGGGATTCGTTTTTAGACAGGGTGTTATGAAAAGGAGAAAAATCTTCCTTACAGGATGTTGAGGTAGGCAAACCAGTTTTTTCTTTCCCCCCAGAGATGAGGGTCTTGCTGTGTTCCCCAGGCTGGTCTAGAACTCCTGGCCTCAAGCATTTCTCCTGCCTCAGCCACCCAAAGTGCTAGGATTATAGGTGTTAGCCACCACACCTTGGTAAACCAGTCTTAACTGGATGATTAAATGTAATTGGAACCGTCTGCTTGGATTGTTAGAAGCTGCGTTTGCTGGCTGTCTTGACAGGATTGAGCAGCTAGGCTGGTGCCTTAAGATTGACACTTTATTTTGCTGTGAAGGGAGGATCAAGTGGTGGCTGCAGGTTACCCAGGCAGTTTTTCCCCCCTCAGAACATACATCTTCTGTTTTCTTTCTGAGGAATTATCTTGTGTTGAAGGGGTTTTGAACCATAAAAGCATTATGCTTTTAGCCACCATTAACCTAAGATCTTCCCTTAAGCTATAAAATTTCTATTTGTAAAGAATTTAATCTGGGTCTATTTCTCACTGGCCAGTCCCCAAAATCATTTCTGAAACTCACGGTCAAGCTGTGCGGTCAGGAGCAATTGGTCTGCTCGGCCTCTGTAGTCTACTTGAGTGCGTGTGGGGCTTTCCTTCTTGTCACAGGCCCCTTAGTTTGTCTTGTGTGTTTTTAATATCTTTACCGAAACAAATGGAAGGGATACTGCCAAAAACAGTATAGAAGACAGTTAGAAAGCACCCCCACATTGTGAAATTATCCCCAAATGGTGATGCCATCTTCTCCTCAGCCTTTGTATGCAGATGTCGCAATAAACTTCTTTTCGCCTTTAAAAAAAAAGAAAAAAGAAATTGTCCCCAAATGTCTGAGCTGGCCAGCTTTTCCCTCCTCTCCCCATAATCACTGTCCTAGTAGGGGCTGCGCATGGCCTGGAGAAGGCCACACTGCACCATTGTTGTGGCTCTGTTTGTGCTGAAAGGTCTATTGAACTCTCAGTCCCATCGCTGTGAGCCCCCTTTGCGGCAGCCCTGCAGTTGGCACAGTGGCTGCCGGCTGTGAGACCTGAGGTGCCGTGGCCTTTGTGGTGGAGGTGGCCACCACCTGATCCCAGGTGGCCCGGCCTTTATGCACCACGATCCCTGCTAGTACATTCTGTGGTACTGCTTTTTTATTGTTTGCTTGTTTTCAAACAAAAATCCAGAAAAGTACACAGAACAACATTAAGTACTGTATTTCCACCACCCCAGATTAACATTTGGTTCTTTCAGGTAACTCACACTTACCTTCTGTGCCCCCATGGGATCCTTTCTGCATGGAGACCACACACTCAATTTGGGCATCACCTCTTCCAAACGTTGGTGTTCCGGTGACACTCAGTGTCCGTCACATCACTCACACGGGACACTGAAATCCCCTATGCGCAGATGTAGCTTTCCCATTAAACTTGTAACTCCTCCTGGGCGAGGACTTGCTCTTGTTCATCTGTCCTCAGGGTCTGTGCAGGTTGCCAGGGACAGGAGCTCAGGAAGTGCAAGAGTTGAATTGCAGCGAGGGTAAGAGGCAGAGGAGACCCCAGGAAAGCGTCCTGGCAGGCTTGAATCAAAGGCGTCTACCTGCAGTCTGATGTGACAGGTCGTAGGACCTTTGGGGGTGTGAGAGGAGAGCCACGTTTCACATAAATCAGTAAAGGGAGATCTGAACTCATGTTGGCACGAGACTTGAAGTTAAATTCTGTTCAGTTCTGAAGATTGCAGGTCTCTGTCCTCTTTTTCCAGAGAAGTGGCTGGGGACCCGAGCGTGTTAGACTTGCTGCAGTTAGCCAAGAACGATACGGAATGCCAGAGCTGCGTGATCCGCAGATGTGTACAGAAGTCAGCTTGGCCTTCACAAAGTGCCTGAACTAAAATATGGTTGGCCCTTTCTTTTTTAAATTTTTATACTTTTTTTTGTTGTTGTTCTGCTTCAAGAATGACAAGGAATCTTGTTGGCTGTTTTTTATTTAAGCTTGGTTATTATTTTTTTTAAATGTTTTTTCTTGGCTGGGTGCAGTGGCTCACACCTGTAATCCCAGTGCTTTGGGAAGCCGAGGTGGGAAGATGATTTGAGGCCAGAAATTTGAGACCAGCCTGGTTAACATAGCTAGACCTCATCTCTACAAAAATTTTTAAAAAGTTAGCCAGGAGTGGTGGCGTATGCCTTAGTCCCAGCTACTCGGGAGGCTGAGACTGGAGGATGGCTTGAGCCCAGGAGTTCGAGGTTGCAGTGATTGCACCACTGCACTGTAGCCTGGGTGACAGAGCAAGATCCTGTCTCTAAAAAAATAAAATATTTGTTCTCAAACTGAACTGATTTTCTTTTCCCTTCATCAAATCCTTAAGGAATTGCTAACTGCTGAACAGGCAGGTTTGGCACATCGGCCTCCTATCCTCCCCAGCAGACAGGGACTCTGGGCACCGATTCAGAGGCCTGCCAGTGCTCGCTTGGCTGCTGTGGTGTGGAGTGGCCAGCAGCGGGTCTGTGTTCAGGCTGAGCCTGGCGCATTGTCCGCCCTTGTGAGGCAGACGAGTTCTTCACCTTCTGCAGTCCAGGAGATGTGAGAACTGCGTCCGCGTGAAACCACAGGGAGCAGTCAGCTCTCTAGCTCCTTTGAGGAAACAAACATTTCAATGTCCTGTTCTTTTTGCTAACTTTGAGCGGTCAGTGTTTGTATTGAGGCCTAACCTGAAGTCACAGCTTTTGTGTGGTGTTGAGCCCTGTGGTTTCCCGGATAGTTAGCCTTGGGGGGGTGCTTCCAGGACCTCCTGTAGCTACTGAGATCCACAGATGGTCAGGTGCCTCTTGTGAAATGTCATAGTATTTGCATATAACCTATGCACAAAAATGTCTGTGCATGTTCAGTAGAGACCCAAAAGTTCGTTTTTTTCTTTTGTTTCTGTTTTTTGTCTGAGGTTGGTTGGATCTACGGATGTGGAAGCCACAGGCACGGAGGGCCAACTGTATTCTTAAATGTCTGGGACCACAGACAGTCCCACTGCTTAGGACTAGCGAAAGCATGGGCCACTTGCTCATTTTAAAACTCAGTTTCAGTAGGCCTCTCTTGCTAAAGTGCATTTTAAAAATCTTTCCAGGTTTTTTGAAAAAAATGTGTATGAATGCAGCATTTCACCACTCTGCAACGTATACTGTGGGGGTAGAACTTTGTGGCAATTCCTTAGTTACTCAGTTTTTGCAATAAAAAGTGATTCAAGGTTCTGATCTTCTGCTTGTTAAATATCCACTTCCAAATAGTGCATGACACTTTCCCAAAGACCAGAACTTCACTGTATTGCTGCCTGTGACTGAGCAGTGGGAACACTACGTTCGTCACAGGTGTTTAATTAAAATCAATATTTGTAGAGTGCCAGTGTATTTTGGGGTGACATCCGTATGTGTCAATCTGAACAGTGGTGCTAGTAGGTGTATTCTTTGACCTTCACGGTACTTAGCTTCTGTCTGGTCACATCAGACTTCAGGACTGCGTAGATCCCCAGTACGCACTTGGGTTAATGTTGGTGGCACTTCCCGTGGTCTAGGCCAACACCATATAGCAACGTGAGCCATAGATGGAATTTAAGATTTTTCTAGTAGCCACATTTTAAAAAGTAATAAGAATCAGCAGTTAATTTTAATAGATTTCATCAACCTAATATATGCAAAACATGTGATCAGTAAAAAGACATGATTAAGGAGACACTTTGCCTCCACGTGGAGAGAGGTGTATCTTGGTCCACACCTGCCACATCCGATTGCTCAGTGGCCTTGGCTCCGTGGTGCAGTGTGCAGGTCCAGGCCTGCGAGTCAGGCTTACTGGGCTGGGTGAGGGGTGAGAGGTGGGTGCCCCTCATTCTACAGACCTTCAAGAGAGGTGTTAGGGCATAGACTAGGCTCTAGATCCAGACTGCCTGCGTTTCAATCTTGGTTCTGCTATTTCCTGTGTGGCTTTTGGCAAATTACTTGATTTCTTTTTATCTCAGATTCATCATCTGTGAAAATAATCCCTGCCTTATGGGGTTGTTGTGGGATTAAGTGAATATAACATGCTTATAAAATCCTTAGAATAGTACCTAGCACAAGAGGTACAAGGTTTGTTAAGAGCAAGCACTTAACAAACATAAGCAGCAGTATTAAACACGTTCAATGTGTTTGTAGTATTAAACACCACTGTATAGTGATTAAAATTAGTATTAAACTGTACTGAATGTGGCTCAATCTGCCTGTTTTAGGATAAGTTTAATTTATGAGAGATCATAATAATTTCAAAATACACAAATTTATAGAGATTTTTTTGGCATAAACAAGATACATAAAACTTTTAAGGAAATCCTAAGAGCACTAAAATACATTTGCCACATGGCCACGTGTAAACCAGTCATGCCAGTATTAAACAACTGTGTATGTGATTTCTGTGTAGACACTAGGAAAATGCTCTACCCCGTGACAGGCTTCCAGGCCCGCCCCCAGTGACATGTGTTTGCTCTGTCCTTGCAGGGCCATGAAGCCTCCGGGGGGAGAACCAAGCAATCTTTTTGGAAGTCCAGAAGAAGCTGTTCCTTCCAGCAGGCCTAACAGGATGGCGTCTAATATTTTTGGACCAACTGAAGAACCTCAGAACATACCGAAGAGGGAGCAGAGCCCCCCGAGGTGGGCCTTTGCTGACTCTTCGGCGGCTCCACTGATCATGGTTCTTGAAGCTGGTTTGTCTGGAGTCTCTTGATACTGATTCCTTCCAAATTTCGGGACAGGGTTATTGCTTGTCATCAGAGTTCTGCCAAAATAAAAAGTTCTGCACGATTTCACTTTCTCTCTTAAAAGTGGGCTTTAGCGGTATGCTCGAAATACCGGCATATTGAGTTCAGCCGATGCTGGTTGCGGGTCGCCGCTGGAGGGTAGCGAGACAGGTGGTGTGGAGTCGTATTCCTTGTCAGGGAGGCTCGTTCCCGGGGTCGGTGGACCTGGAATGTCAGCAATGCAGCAAATGGATCGTGCATTTAAACGTCTTGGTCTCGTTCTTTTTTTGCTTTGAAACCGAGTTCACTTGTGCGTTGCCCAGGCTAGAGGGAGTGCGCAGTGCGTTGCAGCCTAGCACACAGCGAACCTCCAGGACTCCGGCGTGGGTCAAGTGAGTTTCTGCCTCAGTCCGTCCCAAGTGAGTGATACAGGCACTGTGCCTAGCGCGGCGCGCCTGCGCTGGCAATTGTTTTGTTGCTGATGTTTATGTGTGCTAATTTTTTGCGCGATTTATGAATCGAGATGGGATCTCGGCTCTCTGTGAGGTGAGTCTGGGGTATGGAACTCCTGAGGCTGCGAATCAACCCTGCCACTCGGGGTTGCCCAGAGTGCTTAGAGTGATAGGCGTGACCACCGGGCGCCCGCGGTGGCTAAACTGTTCTTTTGGGAGAAGACGTTTTATACACGTTGTCAGGTGGGGTTGAAGCTCTAAAAAGGAAAACTGGGATCGTACGGACACATCTATATATGAAGTGCTAGCGAACTTATGCGCGCCACGCTTCTGAGTGGTTACGGTGAGGAGACTGGGAATAAAAGGTGTCTGCTTGGCTTGGATGGAGCTTGGCAGGCGTGAGTGTTCACAGTGACAGTACCCTGGCGGCCGTGGCTCCGGGGGTGCCACTGGGGAAATGCGTTTGGTTCGCAGTCTTGCGGATGTGAGCAAGCCACACGTGGAGTCATATGGTCAGACAGTATGAGTCAGGGCAAGCAGGGACGCAGAGCTGGGCATTTTCGCTGCGTCACCGCGGGTTCGGTGGCAAACGGCCATGTTTCATGAGCAATGTGAGAGTGTGTGTGATAAGGGGCGAATACGACTCAGCGAGGATTTGTGCTGTGGTTGTTGTGCTTGTGTTGTGGTTATAGCAGAGAGGTGAGTCGGTTCTCCTGAGGTCGCTATTGCATCCCCTCGAATCTTTGAGGCTGTGTGTCAGCGGGCACGTCCGTGTGGTCATGGGGCAGAAGCACAGCACGTTGTGCCTGCAGGTAGAGTCCAGAGCCCGAGCACTTCAGGTGTGTGAGGCCAGTTCCTTCGAGCTGGCGCAGGCAGAGTGCTGCTCCGAGTGTCTGGGGGTGCGCACTCAGGCCATGAGCGGGACGATGCCCCACCCTCCTTTAGTGGTGGGAGCGGCTCTTGGGCAAGTCTGTGCATGGTGCTTTTTCAGAGATGATCACGCGGTATCTGAGTAGGCCATCCTCTTGTGTGCGCATTTATGTTTTTAGCACCCAAAGCCTTATTACGTGCTACCTACTTAGAAGCAGCATTTTCATTTATGGCGTTACAGTCAAGTCACTTAAGTTGGCCGAGCAGGAGGTTACGTGTCTCGATAAGCTGTGACACGTAGTTGTCGTCCCGCATACAGCCACGAATGGGGTCAGAGAGATGACAAGTAAACACAGTTCCAGGTCCCCGGTTTCCCTGGAATGGCGTGGTTATTAGGTTAGAGCTGTCTGTGTGACCTAGGCATTAGCCCTACTAAAAGCTCTCATGGTTTAGTGAGAGAAGATGCTTCACAGGAAGCATCGTTAGGAAAGTAATAGCAGGAAAGTGCTGTTTCAGTGCCGCCTTCCCTGCTAAGAGGCCCAGTCCAGGTCAGCTTCTGGTTCCAGACCCCAAGCTCTGAGCAGGCCCCAGGTGAAGGCTGGGTTTGACGGCCTTTATGAGTTAGTGTCTGATTGCCTGGCCTGTTGGCCTGGGGCCAGAAGGCTGGCGAGCTAAGGTGTCATGTGAGAGAGGCTGATGGATTGCAAGGCTCGAGGTGTTGCGCGATGCTCCTGCAGGTGGGAAAGGAAGTGGTATCTTCGACGAATCGGCTCCCGTGCAGACCCGGCAGCATCTCAACCCCCCTGGTGGGAAGACCAGTGACATTTTTGGCTCCCCAATCACCGCCACTTCCCGCTTGGCACACCCAAACAAACCCAAGGTATGGACTACATTCAGGTAGCAGACATGGAAGAGAAACATGTAAGCCAAGTCTCTTTAAAAAGGCTCTGAGCCAGGTGTGGCATGTTGGTGGGAAGGGACAGGTGGATGACGTTGCTTTTCCTGGGAGCAGTCATTAGTCACTGAGTTGGGAACCTCTCCTGAGTCACCCGAGCAACATCCAGCCTGGTGCTGACGGAAGCCCTGGGGGAGGCAGTTCCACACACAGGCTGTGGCTGCTGCCGGGGGAGTGACACAGCTAAGCGTTCTCGAGGAATCGGACCCTCTCGAATTTTTCCCTATTCTTGTTTCATTTTGGAAGAGAAAAATGATGGGTCCCCCCCCCCATTTGTTGGGTTTTTGTGACAGGGTCTTGCTCTGTTGCCCAGGCTGGAGTACAGTGGTGCAGTCACTGCTCACTGCAGTCTTGAACTCCTGGACTCAAGTGATCCTCCTGCCTCAGCCTCCCACAGTGCTGGGATCACAGGCTGAGCCGCAGCACCTGGCCAGGAATGGTTTTTGGTGGGAATCGTCCCACACGGTGATGAAGTCCTCGTGCTTGTTGTCTGTGCTGGTTCGTGGTGCTTGGCTGACATGTAGTTGGCGCCTCTGAACCAGTGAAGGCACCCTCAGAATGATACCAGCAGAGTCTGCGCTTACAACACTGACTCCAAACCCACAGGAAGTAGAATGCCGGAGCAATGTGGCTTTGGATGTGGCCTTAGGGAGTACTGCTCAGACCTGTGGCCTCAGGGCTGAAGGGAGGGCTCCACTGAGGCCAGTCCTGGCTTCCCTGAGGACCAGAGCCTGCACCTCCCCTGCTTGGATGTTGTTTGCCTGAGTGGTAGCAGAACATTTCTAGGGTTTACTACATCCAGACTCATAATAGAGGCCAGGATCTTTATTGACATAGTTATTAGCAATATTCTCAACTTATTTATTTGCTTTTCCACCTTTATTGTGGTTAGAAGGTACAATCTCCTCCCTAAAACAGAAAATTCTTAACTACTGCTGGAGCTGCTTAAGCCTAGAAAATTGCTGAACTTTTGTTGGTTCACACGCCAGGCCAGAAGGTGGCCCGTGGCAGAGTTGAAACGGAAACTTGAAAAGAACCAACACAAGGAGAGAACAAGAGTGGATGCGGGAGCAGCACCCAGTCTGGATTGCCCCACGACTCCGCTGCGCGGGCACCTCCGCAGTGGCGTCTCTTTCCAGTCTGGTCTCCTGGGAACCAGGCAGGAGCCTCTCTGGTGTTACTAGACCATTATGTTTGAGTTATTTTAAAAGAGCATTTCTTTGGAAAGTACTTTTAGGGCCTCTGCTGCAGGCTGAACCTTGGCTAGACTGGAAATGGCCTAAAGTCAGCAATTCCTCACTAGGAGAGGGGCTTGAATCAGCCGAACACAGGGCGAGATGCCTCCTGCGGCGACTCACAGGTTCCAGCGAACATGGATTGGGCAGAGGACTGTGCGCCCTTAGTACGACTCGGTGTAGAACAAGCAGAAACAGAAGAGAGCTTCCTTGATTTTTAATAAACATAAAGGTCTTTTGATCTAGGACCACTGTTCATCCCCAGCATCACTGGAGAAATGGCCAATTCCGGGTCAAGGTCAGGCAAAGTGAGCCTGGAGCATCTTGCAGTGCCAGAATTCCAGAAGCTGCGCAGGCTGCTGGAGCGGCTCCTAGACTCTTACCACCACGTGAAGAGGGCCCACGGGCCAGAAGTGGGGCTGTTTGATCCTTAACAAGTACAGTTATTGCAATGATTTGGAATTCATGGGTTCATAATGGCACTAAAAATCATCTAATTTGTGACCTTTGGAGAATGCCATAGGACCCATTTGTGCAGCTGGAGGAGGACACAGTAGAGGTCCTGGCCAGTGTTTCCTGCCTGACCCGTATGGCAGGACAGCAGCTGTTAAGGGAAAGTTCCCTTTCGGAAAAGTACTCCTGGCAGTAAATGAAGACACAGTGACGAAATTAGAATATCACCATTTTGCAAACTTGTAGTAAAATTGTGGATCTAGACAGTGATCATCAGTGGCTGTTACATCCCAAAATGCCACGGGCCTGGTAATGAGTCCCTCAAGGACCACCTTTGACATTGTCTCGTCAAAAAAATCAAACCTAGATCAGACCAAACCCCATGTTACACCAGAGTGATGTGACGTGCAGGAAGTTGCAAGGCAGACTGCGGTGGCCGTCCTGGAGATTGAGGGGAGACTTACTGCAATCCCTACCAAAGTCTCAAGAGTTTTTTTCATAAATGGAAAATCCCATCCTAAAATTCATATGGAATCTCAAGGGACCCCAAATAACCACAACAATCTTGAGAAGGAAAACGTTGGAGGCTCTTATTTCCTGATTTCAAATCTTACACAAAGCAAATTAAAACAACATGGTGCTGGTATAAGGACAGACATACAGATTGGTAGATAGAATTGAGAACTGAGAAATAAACCCTCCCAATTATACCTCTTTATTCAAGCAATTTTTCCACAAGGGTGCCGAGATCATCCAGTGGGAACAGAGCAGTCTCTTCAGCAAACGGTGCTGGGAAGATTGCGTGTGCACGTGCAGGAAGATAAGAGTTGGACCCTTACACCCTACGTAAGGATGAACTCAAAATGGACCAAAAACGTAACGTTAAGAGCTAAAACTATAAAATTCTTAGGAGAAAATATAGAGACAAATCATCATGAATTTGTCCTTGGCAATGGAGTTTTAGATAAGACACCAAAAACACAGGCAACAAAATTAAAAGTAAATAGATTGGACTTCATTAATGTTAAAAACTGTACATCAAAGGACACTATTAAGACTGAAAGGCTGGGCGCAGTGGCTCACACCTGTAGTCCCAGCACTCTGGGAGGCTGAGGCGGGAGGGTCACTTGAGCCCAGGAGTGTGAGGTTGCAGTGAGCGACAATGATACCACTGCACTCCAGCCTGGGCAACAGAAACCCTGTCTCCAAAAAATAAAAATAAAAAAATGTGGGGAGTGGTGAAAAGACAACCCACAGGATGGAAGAAAATATTTGCAAATCACATATCTGATGAGGGTTTCCTGTCTGGAATGTATAAAGAATGATGCCTGGGACTCAACAAAAGAACAGACAGCCCAGTTCAAACGTGGCAGTGGATTTGAATAGACATTTCTCCGGTGCAGATACACAAGTGGCCAATAAGTGTGTGAAGAGATGCACATCCCCCATCAGTCATTGGGGAAACGTATATCAAAAACCACCATGAAGCTGGACGTTGTGATTTGCCCACCAGCAGTCCCAGCCACTCAGGAGGCGCAAAGAGGAGGATCCCTTGAGCCCAGGAGCTCGAGGCCGCAGTGAGCTGTGATCATACCACCGTACTCCAGCCTGGGCGACAGAACGAGACCCCATTTCTTAAAAAAACACAACTAGAAAAACCATGATGAGATACCACTTCACACCTACCAGAACGGCAGTGATGTAAAATGGAAAACAAGTGTTGACAAGGATGGCGCTCCCCTATGTTGCCGTCGGGGATGTAAAATGCTGTAGCTGCTGTGGAGAACAGTTTGTGGTTCTTCAGAAGTTAAACCTAGAGTTACCCTGTGCTCCAGCAATGCCACTCTTAAGTGTGCGCCCAAAAGATTTGAAAAAGAGGATTGGAACAGATACTTGCACGCCTGTTTTCATAGCAAAATATTCATAAGAGCCCAAGGTGGAAACACCCCAAGTATCCATCAGCGGATGAATGGGCAACAACAGGTGGTCTATCCATACAGTAGAATATCACTCAACCATGAAAAGGAATGGAGCGTTGACACGTGCTACGTCATGGACCAACCTTAAAAACATAATGCTGATGTTTAAAATTTGGCATTGATATCAATATTTACAGTTTCAAGAATTTTTTTTTAAGGACTTTTTAAGAGCCACTTCTTTTTTTTTTTTTTTTTGAGACAGAGTCTCGGCTTTGTTGCCCAGGCTGGAGTGAAGTGCCGTGGCGTCAGCCTAGCTCACACAACCTCAAACTCCTGGGCTCGAGCCGATCCTTTCTGCCTCAGCCTCCCGAGTAGCTGGGACTACAGGCATGCGGCCACCATGCCCGGCTATTTTTTTTTATATATATATCAGTTGGCAATTAATTCTTTCTATTTATAGTAGAGACGGGGTCTCGCTCTTGCTCAGGCTGGTTTTGAACTCCTGACCTTGAGCAATCCGCCCGCCTCGGCCTCCCAAGAGCTAGGATTACAGGCGTGAGCCACCGCGCCCGGCCTAAGAGCCACTTCTTGAACTGTCTATGGATAAATGAGATATCTGGGATTTGCTTCAGAATAATCCCATACAAGGATTGGGAGGCCTGAAGTTGGGAGAACAGTGTGGCCAAGACAAGGGTGGCATGAGTTGGTGTCACTGTGCCCGTACAGAAGGTTATGCGGGGTTCACGGTATTACTCTGTCTATTCTGTTTATGGTTGAAATTGTCCACAATAAGGATATTTTTTAAAAGTTAAAAAGTCAGCCAGGTGTGTTGGCACACAGGGGTGATCCCAGCTATTCGGGAGGCCAAGGTGGAAGGATCACTTGAGCCCAGGAGCTCAAGGCTGCAGGGAGCTGTGATCGCACCACTGCACTCCAGCCTGGGTGACGGAGCAAGATCCTGTCTCTAGAAAAACTCAAAAGTTAAAGTCATTCACATCCTGGTTTTCACTGTCCAGTTGAATAAGGGTAGAAAAGTTCTGACCAGACTGCTGACCTGCTGGTTTGCCTCGTTGCAGGATCACGTTTTCTTACGTGAAGGAGAAGAACCAACATCAGACCTTAAAGGTGAGCTGCTGTCTCCTGCCCCTTCTTCCTGAGTGGCCTCATTCTGGACGGCTACGGGTGCGTCCCCAGGGACCGGAAGGCTGCGTTTCTCTGCTCCTTCCAGGCTGGCTGCTGTGCTCGCTGCTGAGAGGATTTGGCATTTGAAGCAGCTCGGGGTAGAAAAGGTTTCCTTTCCTTGTTGCTCATGAGCCCGGGCCTGAGACCAAGGTGGTGTCTTCCTAGCACCGATCTGTGTAGCGGAGGGCTGGGACCCCCCCACCCTTCATGAACTTGCGGCCAGTGGTAGAGCTGGCAGAGCTAATTCAGGAGAGGGATGCAGGAGAGCTGGGACGTGGGAAGGAGGGACGCAGGGCGGGATGGGGGCGGGACGTGGCTTCTCCGTGGTCAGTCGCCCAGGAGCCACTCTGTGGTCGGGTTGGAGGTCAGACTTCAGCTCTCGCCGTGGTTCTCCAGGCTGACCCTGGGCAGATTCCTGTCTTCGGGTCACCATTTCCCTAAACTGATGACCAAGACACGCAGGAGTTGATTCTTCCTCCAGAAAGTCCAGAGCAGTGGTGACAGGAAGCCCGGCCTCCGCCTTGTTGAGACGCGCTCCCCCCTTTCCATGCGCACCTGGGGAGTTTGCGTTTTATACTTGCAGTGGAAGAAATAGGAGTGGACTCTAACAAGAATATAAAGAAACAGCTAACTGATTTAGGAAGAAACCAAAGCGTGTTCTCCGTGGCGAGCTCTAGTGTCACGCCCACGTCAAGAGCTGCGCCTGCTGAGTGCCGCCGGCTGGCGTGGTGCAGGGCGGAAAGCCCGCTCCTCCCTCTCCCCGTAACAGTATGAATTCCTCCCGAGTTGCTCTGAGACTCTCGTGGCACGCCTGGCAGGGGGACAGGTTGCTCTAACAGGTGCTGTGCTCACTTTGCCCTACAGCTGCGGCGAGCATCCTACCCGGAGGAGAGCCAGGTGCCAGGGAAGCGGAGCACGTGCCCACCGCCAAGGTCGACAGCCACGAGCCCAGGCTGGGGCCGCGGCCTCGCTCGCACAACAAAGTCCTGAACCCCCCAGGAGGCAAATCCAGCATTTCCTTCTACTAGAACAGTGACTGCCTGACCGTAGCCAGACGAGAGTCGGGAGTTGGTGTAGCAAATACTGTCGTTTCCTTTAGCCCGAGCGAGCTGGGGGGGAAGGGGGTTAGTCGTGAGCAGGAGGCTGGTGGCTCAGGGTCTCCACTGACGTCACGAGAGGACGACGCCTTCCAGACTGCGGGAGACACGCCTGCGTCTGCGTGGGGATAAACTGCGGTTCCCTGGTTTTCACTCAGTCCTAGTCCCGACGTGAGAGGGACTCTACGGTGGGCCAGGGCTGGGAGGTAGCGCGGGGCCGCGGGAGGCTTGGCAAGGCGCGGCGTCCTGTGCCAGCCGATGGGACACCTGGGAAGGACGGAGAGGACACAAAACAGCCCGTCCTCTACGTGCAGACACTGCCGAGGCGCTGGGGGTGTCTGGACGACCCCTCGGATCCTGACGCCAGGTGCCCTCACCACGCTCCCCACCCCAAGGCCACCCTGCCGAGCCCCAGCGTCTCCTGTCCGTTTTAGCCCCAGTTTTTTGTTTTGTTTTGTTTGTTTGTTTTTTTGCAGTCTTTTCTTAAAACAGCTTGGTTGCTTCTCCCTGGCAGCTTTAAAAAAACCAAAAAGTTGTCCTCAGTCTTCTGTTTTGTGGAAGGTTTTACACCCTAATCCTCTGAGCTGCCCAGTTTCTACCGCCCAGAGCCCCAGCCCGTCTCCCGCAGGGATCTGCCCTCTCCCGCAAGGGACGGCCTTGGTCCTTCACCTGCCAGTTTTGCTTGTGAATTGTTCCTTTTCTTCTCATCAGCCTTAAGTCCAGGCCTTTGTTCTTCTCCAGGGACATGGACAGTTGCCTCCTAAGCCAGGGTTCTTCCATAAGTGTGCCCCACTGACCTTCTCAGGACCTGAAAACCACTTGGACGTGTCCAAGTGAGGGGCTTGTTTAGCTTCTCCCGTGTCTTGCATGGGGAAAATATGAAAATACAATAGTATTTAGGTGCTTGAGAACCCTGGATTCTTTAATACCTGAAAAGCTATTTTTAAACAGCAGCTTTACATAAATGATTATTGATTCTGCTCTGTTCCTGACACCTTCCCAGAAAAAAGTCACTTGCTCAGGTTCACCAAAGAGGAACAAAACCTGCTTACACCACCCTGTGAAGCTTTGCAGAACCTCTGGACCATGGTCACAGTCGTCTGGAAGAGATTGGAGACCTGAGCCCAGGAGGTGAGGTAGTTTAGCAGCAGTCACGGCTGTTCAGTTCCCTTGCCCTTGCCGGCTAAGGCAGTGGGCCAGCAGGAGTGGCGCTGCTCAGCTCTCAGGCAAAAGTCCCTCCTGTTCACCCCTGAAGGGCCGCAGTTTCAGTCCCCTGCTTCCCTTGGGCGGCCATCTGTCTGCAGAGAAGAACGTCTGGGTGGTAGTAGCTATTGCTCTGAGTGCCTACAAAGCTAACGCCTGGTGCTAGAAACATCATCATGATTAGAGTTTATTAATAGAAAAGCAACAACTTAGCCTCATGCTGGCCTACCTGCTTGAGTGCCTGCAGGAACTGCCTGCCAGGCTCACTTCCTGTTCCCGGCACATGGAGGCATCTGCATGAGGCTTTGTCAACCAAAGACAGTCCCCCCCCCCCTTCAATTGCCCTGCAGACTTTGGAGCCAAGAAACAGTCATTCCATGTGACTCTGTCACACTTCAAATGGTTTGTGGTTCAGCCATTTATAAGAGTTGTTAGGAATTCAGAGCTTTGCCATTTAAAAACGTCATAAATGGTAGTATACTTTTAAAACCCAAATACACTAATTTGTTTTACTTAAAAGGAAATAGTCTAATGGTAGAAATGAACGACCACTTACAACTCTTTCTTATGAGAAAATGGTTTGTGAATCCACATTGTGTTGCCTAGAACAAACCTGACCTTGCTGTGCTGGCCCTGCCCCTCCCTTGAACCCTGCTGTCAGCCAGGTGCGGGAGCTCTATGGTCCTGCCCACTGGCAGGCACTTCCGGTGGAGAAGGGAGAAGCCAGGGATGAGAAAGAACGCCTTGGGGAGTAAGAAAATCAACCGTGAACCAGAGCAAAGGCCCCTGGGCAGCAGTGACAGAACTCACCTCACTCTTTTCCCATCTTTCCCACCTTTCCTGAGGCTTCAGGGCTGGGCTGAGTTCTGGGTAGGCTGGGCGAGGGAGCCCCACTGTGGTTGCTGTTTGCATTTGGAAGGTGTTCTGTACATTGGGGACTGCCTGTACTTGGAAGATTAAAAACTTTAGCATCCTGTTTTCAACCTCTAAGCTGCATTGATAAATTACTACTCTGTATTTTGATTAAGCCTTAAAACTTTTAAGTGTATTTGGTGCCAACATTTTTCTAGTGCTGTATCTAAACAAAAAATCCTATACTCATATCTCAGTGTAATTTTGATAGGAACATTTTTGTTATTTTTACAAGGCAGAATCGGGTGTAACTGTTGAATTAAACTTAGCAATCACATACTCAAAGTCTTTGCCTGTTTTGTATGTGCATGTCTCCTCCTGGGTTCATTCTCCAAACAAAATGCCTGAACTCTGCCCTTTTCCCTACTGCTTTTCATTGGTCAAGGGGTTTGCCATTTTTGGAGAGTGTGTGTTTTGGTTTGTTTTTTCATTTAGCCAAAGGATGCCCAAATTAATCTTCTCAAAGCTTTGAGCAGAATTAGTGGGGAATACAGCAGTGTTTTCAGTTTCTGTCTCTAAATGTAATGATTATTTTTTCTCATATACCATTTGTTCTAAAGGTGTTTTTAAGATGTTTAACCTGCCTCTAACTTGGCTTTGAAACTAGTGACAATCCTTGCAGTGAGTGGGTGAGGTAACTGAGAGCTTCTCAGATCCAAGTCCTGTCTCTAGTTTTCTATGTTCCTCAAACAAACTTCATGTCCTGTGTGTATCACGTGATTCGGGGTGATGAAACTTCTCAGATTACCTGCCTGCAGAGCTCCCTCTAGGAGGCTCCACACCACTCTGCCTGCTGGATCGAGGCTTCAGATGAAGAAAACCAACGTGGGTTACCTGAAACGCCATCTTTACTGTTCCACACGTGTGTTCTGAGTGTAGAGCACGTTCCAGGGGCTGGGCTGGGCTGGGCTCTGACAGTGCCACGTTACCTATTTGTAGCAGCTGCGCAAGCTGTATGCAAGTGCTGAGATCTCAAGATGGTCACAACTCAGCTGTCCGGAGAGGCCAGGCAGTGGCCAGGTCTGGAGTGACCACAGAGGCTCCATCCGTGTTAGGATGAAGGGGTGACGAACAGACCTCAGAGTCCCCCTTCAAGGCCCACAGCCTGTCTAGAAACACACTGGCTTCTTTGACATCCTGTAACTCGCTGTTACCTTTGTGGTGTGCCTCAGTGGTCAGATCCTGCAAGCATGTGTACATACCTCCCGTGTCAGTTGGTTCATTTCTTCTGAACTCATGACTCATGATCTTTTCTTACTCCTTCCCATCTTGGGGATCATTAATGAAGTGTTCCTATTTTATATGTGGCTACAGAGCACTATGTAAAGATGCCATCCTGGCTGGACCAATGGCAGTGGGTTACCAGAACTTACTAACATTAGTGTCATTGAAGTTGGTATACAACCCCCACTGCTAAATTCGACGGGCTAAATTAATTAAAGATGCCATCTAACATTCAACTCATGAAGAAAGGACAGGAACATTACAGGGACCTAGGTGACTTTTTAGCAGGTATTATAATGGGACAGATACTTAGAAATTGAAATAGAACTTTTGAAAATTGTGTGCCTATCTTGTAATTTAGGGTCTTAATGAGAAAAAGTTATATCCCAAATAATCTTTCCAAATCTGAAAGGAGATCTACTCTTCTACTAGAAGAAGTAAGTTCTATTCAGATAGCTTCAACTTTAAGGAGCGGACCAGTTGTACTATCCAGCAAACATCAAGAATTATTCAGGCCGGGCGTGGTGGCTCACGCCTGTCATCCTAGCACTCTAGGAGGCCGAGGAGGGTGGATTGCTCAAGCTCAGGAGTTCGAAACCAGCCTGAGCAAGAGCTCAGCCCTTCTCTACTATAAATAGAAAGAAATTAATTGGCCAACTAATATATATAGAAAAAAAATTAGCCGGGCATGGTGGCGCATGCCTGTAGTCCCAGCTACTCGGGAGGCTGAGGCAGTAGGATCGCTTGAGCCCAGGAGTTTGAGGTTGCTGTGAGCTAGGCTGACGCCACGGCACTCACTCTAGCCTGGGCAACAAAGTGAGACTCTGTCTCAGAAAGAAAAAAAAAATTATTCAGCACGTCATCTCATTCATTCATTTTTTGTCATACCCAGGAAAGACCTGAGAATGTCATCTTGTTTAAATTTCCTTTTGTTTAACCAATTTCAAGTAACAAATCTGCCCCAGTCATGTTAGTGATAAACATTACTAACGTTGATGGCCAAGTCATCTCTCCCTGTGGCACTGAGGGTTGCTTCTGTTGTAGTGTGCTACAAAGTGAGTTCAAAGAGGTCAAATGACTGTAAAAGGCCTAAAACAAAAGCACCAAACTATTCCCCAGAATACAAGCTTGCTCTGTAGCTTGCTCACCAGGAAGAATTACGCATTGCATTTTAACAATATAAAATTTAACAATTGTACAGAACATTCATTGCATGTAATATTTGCTAGAGGTGGTGCTGTGTCTCTTTCACAGGTTCGCTCACATTCCTTTTTTTTTTTTTTTTACACTTGAAGTGGGAAGGAACACATTCCTTATAGGTTTTAACATTTTAGGCTCAGTTTCGCAGGCTTGGAAATGGAGACTTGGGAAGATTAAGTCATTTAAGATCTAACCCCAGGCAACTTGAATCTGAGATTGAAACCTTAGACAGTTTGTCTCTCATTGGGGTGGGTGAGCATTTATACATCAAATAATGTTGCAAGGGGAAAATGTGAAAATACGATAGTATTTAGGGTGTCAGCTATAGGAGAGTTCATTGTTTTGCTGCAGTCAGGTTAGGGTGAGAGGATCTGAACTGACCTGAAGGCATTTTAGTAGGTGAACAGCAGGGGTAAGAAACCATTCAATTAGCATTAAGCAGACCCAGATGGGTATGGGGTTGTTTTTTTAAAATTTTTTTAGAGGTGGGGTCTTGCTATGTGGTCCAGGCTGGTGTGAAGTGTCCATTCACAGGTGAGATCATAGTACCCTGAAGCCTCGAACTCCTGGGTTCAAGGGATCCTCCAGAGTAGCTGGGTGCACACCACACTCAGCTGCTGATGGATTTTTGAGCAGAATTCATACTACCTGTGTGTCCCCCAAAGTGAAGGTTCAAAGTCTGCAGTTCATGGTGTCCTCAGATGCCTAGTGAAAGAAAATGCAAGTCTTCTAAAGCAACTCTTTTTCCTTTTAAGAGACCAGGTCTTGTTCTGTCACCCAGGCTGGAGTGCAGTGGTGTGATCATAGCTCACTGCAGCCTCGAACTCCTGGGCTCCAGCGATCCCTCCGCCTTGGCCTCCCAGAGTGCTGGGGTTACAGGCATGAGCCCAGTCCGAGCAACTCATTTTAAATTCAGGGCTGAGAGTATTTACACGGCTAACGTCCCAGAGAACATTGAGAGAAGAGCCTGAGCAAGAGGCAACCACGGTGACAGACTGCAGAGTCAGCCCTGAAAAGGCTGCTGGTACTGCAATTATGAAATACTAAAAAAGAAAAGAAAATCCTAAAGATAAGTGGTTGAAAGTGTAAGAAATAGACCTTATCGGCCGGCCACTGTTGGCTCACGCTGTAATCTAGTCCTTGGAGGATGGCCGAGGCGGCGGATTGTGCTCAAGGTCAGATTCAAACCAGCCTGACAAGCGAGACCCTCGTCTTACTATAATAGAAGAATTATTGGCAACTACTATATATATAAAAAAAATTAGCCGGCATGGTGACGCTGTCTTAGTCCCATAGCTACTCGGGATGGCTGAGGAGAGGTCACTCAAGCCCGGAGTTGAGTTGCTGTGGCTGGCTGCGCCATGGCACCACTCTAGCCTGGACACAAAGTGAGACTCTGTCGCAAAAAAAAAAAAAAAAAAAACCTATCAAAACTGGTAGAATATAACAAAATCAAGTAGGACAAAAATATAATCACTGAAAGTGAAAACCCAATGGAGGGGTTCAACAGATTACACATAGCTGGAAAGACACCGGAAGATGCCGGAAGTCACACTCTGGGCAGCCGAGGGCGGGAGGCCGAGCCTCCGGCTGTGGGGCGCTTGGCGCGGGGCAGTGCGCCGAAGGCGACCAGAGTCCGCTCCGGGGGAGGCGGGCGGGGCCCGGGCCGCTGGCGAGCGCAAGCCCGCAGCGCTAAGGTTCAGACTGGCCCGCCCGGAAGCGCCCCGCCTGGCCCAGCCGCGCTTCCGGCCCGGGACCGGCTTTTTCTGACGTCACGGCGCCCGCGCCCTCTGGCGGCGCGACTGGGCGCCGCAGGCCGCGCGGGCGCCACCCCCTCCGGCGGCGGGCGGGACTTCCGGCGGGTGAGTGACGGGCGCAGCATCAGCAGCAGCATCAGCACCAGCAGCGGCGGCGGCGGCGGTGCGGGAGGCGACCGGCCGCGGCCTGCGGGACCAGAAGCGGGCGGGCGGGCGGGCCGGGCGCGCCGGCCGGACAGCGGGCCGCGCTGGCGGCGGCGGTGGCCGCGATGATGGAGATCCAGATGGACGAGGGCGGCGGCGTGGTGGTGTACCAGGACGACTACTGCTCCGGCTCGGTGATGTCGGAGCGCGTGTCGGGCCTGGCGGGCTCCATCTACCGCGAGTTCGAGCGCCTCATCCACTGCTACGACGAGGAGGTGGTCAAGGAGCTCATGCCGCTCGTGGTGAACGTGCTGGAGAACCTGGACTCGGTGCTCAGCGAGAACCAGGAGCACGAGGTGGAGCTGGAGCTGCTGCGCGAGGACAACGAGCAGCTGCTCACCCAGTACGAGCGCGAGAAGGCGCTGCGCAGGCAGGCCGAGGAGGTGCGTGGGCCGCGCGGGCCGGGACCCGCCCCGGATGCCCCGCCCCGGGTCCCCGCCCCAGGACCCCCCCTGTCCCGGGGCCTCCCCTCCCCGCCCGCCCCGGGGTCCCCTGCACGGAGACCCCGCCTCAGGACCCCTTCCCCGCCACGGAGCCCCCTCCTCCCCACACGCCCCAGGACCTTCCTCCTGGCCCCAGGACCCCGCCCTGGCTTCCCCCGCTCCTGCCCGCCCGAGGACCCCGCTCCGGCCCGGCGCTCCCGCGGGGCGCTCAGCCTCGGGCGGGCCTCCCTCTCCACCCCCCGCCCCGCGTCCACACCAGTTCCCTTTGCTCTTGCGCTTGGGGCCAAGCCGGTTTCCCAGACCCCAGAGACTGCCTGCGCTCGCTGCTGCAATTGTAAACCCTCCCAGACAGGGGTCTCTGGGCTCCCTGCGGTGCTGCAGCAGGAAGCGGTTTTGCTTGTCCCTCGTCCAGTATTTTGAAGGCGTGTGACATGGTGAATTTGGTGATGGGTGTA